CGGTTGTTTTGTTTTCAGCTAAGCTTACGCCATCTGTAAATATTTCCGCGACTCTCGAGTTGTTTGCAGTCATCGCAAATATAATAAGCTACACGCTGCAGCAACTTCGTTGACGCATTCCCGGCTTTCACGTCAAACGGCAGGACGCTTGTTTCGATTTGAGGTCGAAACTCCTACTACGACCAAGATGACGATAGCATCGCATTGCGCTATTAATGGGAGCTCAATTCCACTCGGCATGTTTGTTCGGGACTGCTACCCCGTGCGGCCCACTGCGAGTGCGACGCATTCTGGTAGAGATTTCGCACGGTGACTGTGTGTGCCGAACAAACTCGTTATTAGTTTGGATTTAAAGCCGTAAACACCTTTCCAAATAAAAACGCTCCTAGGTCGCCGCCATCTTACTGAAAATGTTGCAGCTGGTGCGACTCTCGCTTCCTCTATCAGCTAGAACGTTTCTGGCACTTTCTTAGACTGTTGAAACCTGCTCAGCGCGATTCTCCACCTATGTTTAGCGGTTTTGCATTCAAGGTTTACCGGCCTCTCTTAAAACTTCCTACTTAATTTTTCTTATGCATGGTACATACCCTGTTTGTCTTATCTTCCACTGTGTGAAATATGGTTGGTAAGTGCCTGCCATTCAAGCGTTTCTGCTCGACATTTACGGGAAACGAAGGAAAGGAGGTACGTCGAACGGTCTTCGACGCGATTTTGCGAGCAATGACGAGCGTTCTCTCGCCTCCCAAACATTATCCGGGTAAACTCCTTCTCAGTCATCGCCAAAAATAGTTCTTCCGTTTGGGGCGAACAACGGGTCAGTTGCGTTCGTTTCTTTGCCTTGGAGCTGGTGTGAAAAAAGGACGCTCTCTTCAAAACGCGCCCCGAAACTACCCAAAACGAAATCCTCTTGGATTCCCTCCGATCGTCAAGATGTGACTTTCGTCGACACTGCAGTGCTTTGTAATTTGAGGTATTTCTGAAATAAATACTTTTCGGATAACTTTGCACCGTGTGGTATGTGCAATATATTCTTCAAATGTTAGCACTTGCTAAATTGTATGTTCGAGTCCAACGGTAGACACGTTACTTGTGCACGGGATATATTCATCCCCTTCGGCCACGTTCTGTTGTAAATTGTTTTTAGAGCGCAGCTCTTAGGGGCCCGTTCCCGGCTTGAGCGGCGTCGCCGTCGGCGTCGGCGTAACCGCAACCCTCGTAACCCTCGTGAGGGCTACGAGGGTTACGAGGGTTAATCTCATGAGGGTTACCCTCACGAGGATCACGAGGGCCACGAGGGTTACTTACCCTCGTAACCCTCACGAGGGTTACGAGGGTTAGTTACCCTCAAAAGGGTTACCTTCACGAGGGTTACCCTCACGAGGGTTACTTACCCTTGTAACCCTCACGAGGGTTACGAGGGTTAGTAACCCTCGTGAGTGTAACCCTCGTGAAGGTAACCCTTTTGAGGGTTACGAGGGTTAGTAACCCTCGTGAGGGTAACCTTCGCGAGGGTTACCCTCACGAGGGTCACGAGGGTTATGAGAGTTACCCTCACGAGGGTCACGAGGGTTATGAGAGTTACCCTTACGAGGGTCACGAGAGTTACCCTCACGAGGGTCACGAGAGTTGCCCTCACAAGGGTTACTAGGGTTACCCTCACGAGGGTCACGATGGTTACCCAGGTCGTGACCCCCCCTGGGGTCACGTGACCTGGGGATACCCCCGAGGTCACGTGACCCCCCGTTGACGTCATCATCACTGATGACGTCATTAGTGACGTCACTGATGACGTCACCGGCATTTGCATCGTCATCATCATCACTGATGGCGTCATCAGTGACGCTACTGATGACGTCATCGGTATCGTCACGTGGCCCCAGGTCACGTGACCCCCCGACGTCACGTGACGCCCCAAGGTCACGTGACTCCCACAAGGTCACGTGACCCCCCGCCCCCCGAGGTCACTTGAAGCCACCCCCCAGTACCCTTCCCTCCTCCTCCTCAAGAGCTGCGCTCTAATTCGGCGTTACAGGGAGTTGTAAACGGCTTTCATTTTTTACACCTAAGCGTTTTGTCGTTTTGGCACGCAGCTGAGCGGGTGGTGCCGTCAAAACTTAGAAAATAAAACGAACCTTGGAGTCGCATTTGTTCTGTCGCGCGCGTACCCAACAACAAATAGTTTACAGAGCTTTTCGTTTGTTTTTGTTTGTTTTGAATGTGGCACAATGCTTCCTCAATATCTTAGGGTAAATACATACACCATAAAACGCAAAAACAGTGGAAAAAGACAAGAATTTAGCAGCCAGCAGTATTTGAAATTGCGCCTGCTCCAGGCTGTGCCAATCGAAATCACAGTCCTCTCGGTTAGGGTTAGCAGGGACAACGGTGATTGACTGAGTCCCGGAGAAAAGCTCACCGAAGGATAGCTCACCGCAAAACCGGGGGATGAGGAGTAAAGCTCACCGGCCCTAGAACAAATGCAAAGAAAAGCTTACCATTTTTTTTTTTTTCATATGGAGGCTGCTAGATTATGGTAACCTACATCGATTTAATATAAATGATATTCATCAGTTTTCTAAATAGAATGTTATTATTTATGGTGTAGGTGAAGCTTATTGGGTATATTGCTCCCCAATAAATAATTTCTGGCCAGTGTTGTTTGTGGTTTACTCCCTAGGCAACGAAAGCCTAACTGAAAAATTTATGAACTTGAAAAACAGGAAAAAGTCCGAAAACGTGATTATGTCTGACTAAGACCTAAAAAGCAAAACTGTAAATGGCGAAAATTCGAAAGTACATGCCCAACAACGCGGTGCCTGAAATTTTCTTCGACGTGTTTGTTAACCTTTGAAAACAGGATAGAACGGTCAGTAGGATATTGAGATTTCGTTATTCGACGGACATGCACGGTTTCTAGCCGTTCGTGCTGGTTTTCCCACACGTTGCCTACGTGTGGTAGTACCCTTCTTCGGACAACCACCCATGACATTCAGAGCTGCACACTGTCACTGTTTTTACTCGCGTCCTATAAGAGAACGAATCTTCTGTAAGGTAGCTGATTGGGCGAGTTGGTAAAGGTTATATATTATGAAAACATCTCAAACGACAAAGACGGAGTGAAGACAACAAACCGACAGGACGAAGCTGTTTTCGCAACTAAAGTTTTATTTGTGGAAAAAGGAACAGGAAAAAAAAAACAACGGAGTCGACACTGATTACACCAACAAACACCTACTTACCTATCGGGCACCCCACAATCTTCGGAGCCAATACGGTTCACGCACCGCTATTCATATTACCTCGCAAGGAACAAACCTCTTTATCTGAGAGAGCTACCGACGGCGTACTGTCAAGCTGTCAATAAATTGCCTATTTTACGGGTGTCCCGTGTTCTGATTTTATACTTGCGGCGTGATTAATGGACACAATGGGTGATTGCTAATTTCTGAGGAATTAGTATATATAGCCAATAAACTTTAATACTATTAAAAATAAGAAACTCTTTTTTTTAATGAAGTGACAAATTTTAATTGTGTTAAATTGCCACGTGTGACGCACAATTCGCAAAACTAGGAGGAAAAAGATTTGGTGAGCTTTTTTGTGAATTCCACTTAAGGGGCGGTGGGCTTTTCTCCGGTGAGCTTTTCTCCGCCACCCGAGTTTGGGCCCCAGGGAAAAGAGAATATTCTCTTGTCCCTGGGGCCACGTGTTTCTCAGAAAGGTGTCTACGAAGAGGACATTTCCCGTCCTGCGGCGTGTACTAGGACATTTTCAATAAAACTTTCATGGCACGGCATAGAGTGTTTTTACTGACATAATTTCGTCCACCATTTTGCTGTTGTGAGCTTCTCTGGGGTGTGTCCAAGTCGAGCATTCCAAGGTTTTCCCTGAACCCTCATATGCGTAGAGCATAGAAGCTCACAAGTCTTACCACGCTGACATATCCATAACAGGTTGCGATGTAATCCTTCAAATTAGTAAATTTGTTTGAAAAACATAGTAACAACAAAATGGCCGATTGACGTTATGTGAAAACACCCTACATAGCATTGAGGTTGAGCGGCAATTCTACAACTACATTATTCTCCCAAAAATGTATATCTTAAAGGGACACTGACACCCCCGCTCCCCCCTTTTTATTTCCCCAATTTTTTTTTTCGTTGGTCGATTTATTATTGTGTCAGAATCAATATTTTGCTACACCGTCACGTATACTTTTAATAAAGTAAAAAAAAAAAAAAAAACGCGATTGCTCGAAACCAAAACTGCAACTGGACTGAGGAGGAAGAAGAAATACATATTATGAGAGTGTTGCCTAAAAGCACGTGGCAATTCAACTTTTTTTTTTTTCCGACGGTGTCTTTAGTTTTTTTAGAAGCCACAAAAATTCGGTGTAATATTTTGTTTTTATTTTTGATATTTTGTGTGCTTTCGATGGCACACGACTTAGATTATCTTGGATATTTGGGTTTAAACCATAAGAAGCGGCACGTGACCACGAAGAAGACAGGGAGCGGGACTCAAACCGGCCAGTTCTCGATCGGCGGTTTTCGGGCGGAAAGAAAACGAATTTCGAGCCGTAAATTGTGTTCTGGGTAGCTGTGTTCTCACATTTTATATACAAATAAAATCCTCGGCGAGCATAAATACCCTCTCAGTGTCCCTTTAAAAAGCAAATGAAACTCTTATTTATATAGCTAACCTTCTAACTAATCTAATCCCTCCCCCCCTTTCTAGTGGCCGGCAAAGCTAAAAAAAAATCCTAGAACATGTTTCCTTTATTTTATATTTTGTGACCACTAAACAAAAACATCCCACACCCGTACAGCCTACTTAAAGTGAAATAATAATAAAACATGTTTGAATAGTTTGCCGGTTCAACAAACTTTGTTTTTTTTTCGTTCATAAAACAAAAGTTTATTGTAAATTTATTTAAGCTAATTTTCTGAGTGCAGTCTGAAAACCATAATCTCTCATTCTACCCACTTACTTTTTTGCAGCCTCTTTTCGCGGAAAGAGCCTATTGGACGTTGGTTGCGGCCCCACAGTCCACAATGTCTTTCCTGCGACAACCAAGATCCAGAACGTGGTGCTCTCCGATTTGTGTGCTGGAAACAGACGGGAAGTAGAGAACTGGATTCAGAAGACGCCGGGTGCCATAGATTGTTCCTTCATCAGCGAGGCACTGGCCGCCGTGGAGGGACACGTGTAAGGATGCGATCGGTTCGAAAGACCGTCAGTATTATAGCGGCGAGATGTTTTGCTAATGCCTTCCAGTGGTTCCCTCTCGTGACGTGCGAACAAGAATTTTCATGGTGTTTGTAATTAGCATGGTGGAAGCTTGAAATCATTTCATTCTGAAAGCAACACTGCCAATACCGTCAAAAGTGAAGTTCCTACATTACTCTTATTTCTGTCAATGAGAAAACTTTTGCTGACGTCATAGTCAGCATTTGGCCAATCAGAAAAGGCCAACCACAGCGGCGCTTTCAACCGCTCACATCGCCAATTGCCAACACCACCACCATTACAACATTTACGAGTCCTCCTTAGCCCAGCGCACTAGGAACGAACTCTAAAAATCGAACCGGCAAATGGCTCTATTTTTTGTATATATAAAGGTTAGAAGAGCAGGAAGGAGATTTTAGGCACCTCCAGCAGGAGCTTCCTGTACTTCGAAAACTCGTCGACGTCTTATGTGCCTCTAACTCGCACGCGTCCCCCGAGCACGTCGCAAAGCAGCGAGCGCGTGCTGGAAGCCGGTCGTTCGAAAGACACTAAACTGCTCCTAACCGGTGTTTTTTTTTAGGGATTGTGCGTATGGGGCGTGATTTCTTCACATTCCAAAGTAAAGACCATGCGCCTATGGGCTTTGGGAATTGGGCGTAGGACAAATCGGTCCAGGAAGAAAAAATGTTTCCGGACTAACTGCATGGTCCCCGGACAAAATGGTCCTGCTCAAAAAGGTCGCGAAAAAAATGACCTCGGACAAAATGGTTCCAGTCAAAATGGTCCCGAACCAAATGTTCGCAAGCGGAAACCCGTACAAAATCGGGTCCCAAGTGATTTGTTGTCACCTTGCGCGCTCTTTGATGGGTTTAGTCGAACTGCTACTTTGAAACTTTATTAAACTCAGGTATAATGTATATCTTAAAGGTGCCCTGAGGAGGTTTCTGAGATCGCCCAGAATATGGTGATAACTTACACTGCAAGCTCTAAGCATCCTGTAAATCCATTAATCATAACAATACGCTGAAGATTTCCTTATTAAATAAAAAAAAAACGATCAAGAACGAACACCCCGAGTTCATCTCGGAGAATGGGAGGAGCATTGTTCCGGCAGCGAGGACGACATGTGACCAATGGAAACGCGACATTTCTTTCAGGTTGCAAACGCAAGTATTACGAAAATGGGTATGCTTTTGTAGATGATAAAAGCAAATAAGAGTAGTCGAAGAATGTTAAATTCTCGCGGTAAGGGAACATAACACAGTACTGCGAAAATCCTCTCAAAAACAGCACACAATGTTGCGTCTATTTTTTTTTTTTGTGTGTGTGTGTGTGTGTGTGTGTCTTTTGCGGGAGTGATGTGTTTGGTCGTCAGCTCTCGAGCGCGCACTAGCCGGGTTGGGTCGTAGTCCGGGCTATATGGGCATAGGTATGAGCAACGAGCCGCGCGCCTTCGAGATATCACTCCCCGGTTCCACCGGGTGGAGCCGCGAGGATTCTTCGCTTGCTATTGGCTGACAGTGGTCCTGGTTTCGGAACATGCTCCTCCCATTTCCGAAGATGACCTCGATGTGTTGCAATCGATGTTTTTTTTAATAGGGAAAGCGGCCGCGCACCGCCATGAGTTAGGGGTTTCAAGGTTGTTTAGAGCGAACAGATCGTGTTATTGCCATAGGCCATCTTAAAACCTCCTCACTGCACCTTTAATGTGTTCAAGCTTTTCGTTATATATTTTAGGAAACCACTAAAGAATTTCAAAAGTTTAGTAAATCACTATTATAGCTCACGGCGGCTCTATGACTCCTGTTCATAAAAGTCAAAGAATCGTAGAACGCTTGACTCTGTAAGTCCCTACACAACCAGCACACAATAAAGCGTGAAACGCGTGTGAGCAAAAATCGCGTCGCATTGCACCGCCGAGCGGCGTAACGAGCCACCAACACCCAGAGTCGTGCCAACACTCTCTGCCAACACCAGCAACGGTTGTCATGGTTACGCCGCTCCGCAGCGCGACGCGACGCAATTTTGAATTTCATGCGGCTAACGCTTATGGCTGCACTCAGACTTGCGTTTGGATCGCAACCGCGAAGCGAATAAGCTCGTTTTCAGCTTCAACCGCGCGTGAATTTGTATTGCATATGTAAAGGACTGGCACAACGGTATTCAATTGGACAGTTTTTCACTTTACACGAGCTTACTGGCGCTAGTGGGACCCAAGCACACTCGCACGCAACGCCCCTGAACAAGAAACTCCCTTGTTGTGGTGTAATCTCAAGAAAAAAACCAAGCCTTTTCTTTCAATCTCTCTCTCGCAGAACTTGATGACGTAGCGGGGGGGTCGCATTGTTGGCATAGGGGTCGCAGTGTCGGCATAGCAGTGACGGTATTTTAAGGCGGCCAATAGATTGGTCCCGAGCATTGCCTGGGGTGCTATGTTGCGCTTTTTGGACTCCCGGGAGACTTGGAAGAGGGAAGTGACGTCAACGACTAGAGCAAACGCAGATTGGATGTTGACAGAAGAAAACGAAATCAACACCCAATCTGCGCTTGCTGTGTCGTTGACGTCACTTCCCTCTCCCTAGTCTCCTGGGAGTCCAAAAAGCGCAACATAGCACCCCTGAACACTGGATTTGGGCTCGCAATAATTGATAGCTCGGCAAGCATTCGAGTTGTGGCCCGTGTCCAATCGCTCCTATGACGGCAATAGCCGAACCATAACAATTCCTCGAACTCAGCGCGTGTCCTATGCTTTGCCAACCCCAGCGCGTGGCTATGATTAGCATTGGCGGCATGTAATCGGCTCCAGGTCACGTGGCCGCTTGTTCTGGCCGGGGGTTCAGGGGGTAAACGCTGCTCGCTTTTCATTAATATTTTTTTTTTGCGATTTTGATGGTGTGTGGTGAAAAACGAATGCGTGTTTTATGGGCCATTAACACCAGGGATTTGTTCTAAGCGGTATTCGCGCAAAGTGCCAAAATCGGAACCAGTTTTCGAATGCGGTTTTATCGCCAGTGTGGATATGGCGTAAAGGCGCAGGGTTTAGATGCGCTCTCTGCGCTCGGTGAAAGTAATCGGTGATAACATACACAAAAAATTTGACGAACGCCATTAGTACCTTATGTTTTAAGCACTGCTTTATTGGTCCTACCAGCTCGTAGCGTCGGCTGCACTCTGGCTTCAGTTAAACGTAACATAGCAGTGGTAGGAAAATAGCCACATCTGGCGAGAGTACTTTCTAAAATTTTGATTTAGCGCAAGAGAGCTGCTGCAAAACGCATGCGTATGATGATTCATGTACATGCTCATGCACATACTACATATTTGTGACGGCGTGTTATGGGACAACCTTGTTTTTTGTTTCTTTTTTCCTGCTGAATACTGTAAACGACTTAATTTTCGCGGGCTCAAATTTTCGCGAATAGGGCCAAAGCTAAAAATTTGAAATTATTCGCGGGTTCTAATGTTCGCGAATCGAGCGTAGCTTCCGTGGTGTTCAGATATTGCCCGAATTGTTCGCGGGACGTATTTTTCGCGTTTGTAGGCGATTCGCGATATTCGCGAAAATTAGGTCCTCGCGAAAATTAAGTCGTTTAAAGTTTGTTATATATCATGGATACATTATTTTACATTTTATTTTTCATTTAATTTTATTTTACTTACTCTCAGTGCCAGAAGGCACTACAGACAGGAGTGGGTTAGTTATTCAAAAATACAAGTATGCAAATCTAATATCATTAATATCAGTGAACAAGGCGAAAATTGCGTCAATACGTAGAAAAGTACGAAAATCGCTAAGGACCATTTTTTTAAAAAATGTGTAATTATAGTTCTAAATACAGCGCCTTCAGTTCTTCAGAATATTTATCCGAGAAAACTATTCCAATCAATGAGTGTCTGGGAAAGAGAGGAAGAATTTAAAATGGAGGTACTACAATGAGGAATACCCACTTTTAGTCGGTGATCTATGCGCAATGATATGCAAGATTGTTATAAAAATAACGTTCTACGAAGTGCCCGGTTATTGTAATGGCTCTTGTGAAATAAACAGAAACGATATATTTTTCTCCTAGAAGAGAGGTTAATCAATAAGAGGGATGCTTTCATAGAGGTGACACTGGTTGTGCGGTGATAGTCCAAAAGAATAAATCGAGCAGAACGATTTTGAACTGACTCAAGAGCAGATGCAAGGATGAGTCCAGGGTCCCAAATAGAGGCTACACATTCAGGGTTCTCTACAAAATTAGCTTTAAAGAAAAAGGAGTCTACGAATATTTTATTTTAAAATAACCTAGTATGCGATTAGTGATAGTGACGTATTCAGCATAGACACTCCAGGAACGGTCATTGACAATGTGAACACCGAGGTATTTATAAGAGAAAACAGAAAGGAGGGTAAAATGGTTAACGTAAAGGGGGGGGGGGGGGGGGGGGGGGGACAAGCGTTATTTTCACGACACACCCTCATAAACCTACATTTACGAATGTTAAGTTCCATAAGCCATCCTGTATGAAAATCTTATATCTGGGGCATATTTGGCCATATCAGACATTATATTTTATATACGGCGTATATACAGCATTATCTGGTGTACATACAGCCTTATCTGGCGTGTATACAGCCTTATCTTGTGAATATAAAGCCTTATCTGGAATTTATAAGCCTAATCTGGCTTATATACAGAATTATCTGGCACATATATAGCTTTATTTGAGGTATATACTTTGTTATTTGGCGTATATACAGCTTTATCTGGCGGCCGGTTTTCAATATATAAAAGGGTTAAAAGAAAGTAAAAAAGTGCTTTGTTAGCAAACTGTGAATGACTCATTGTTCGCGAGCTAAATATTAGCACAAAAAAATCCTAGACTTCAACTTTGGCAAGCTGAAGTTTGGGATTATTTGTGCTAACTTTCACAATGTTTCCAATGTAGCTTAATTATTTCGAAGTGTTAACATTGCGCCCGAATAGACAATTCACTAAATCACCCAAGTGCCTCGGCCCGCACTCGAGGAATCATGGGGTCGGTGTTCCTTCAGCTGCCTAGTGATCGGAAATTTTGACCAATTTATGGTTACACAGTTTTGAGTGTAATTCGGAGTCACCCTGAAAAAGTGTCGTATAGAACCGAAGTACACCCACCGGCAATATGAAGGTGAACACCTTACCTGGTTTCTTGCCTGTTTTACGGCTCCCTAAAGCTATATTAACTTTCCACGCCTCAAACGGTAGGTGGCTTGAGGTGTAAACTTTGCGTTATAGTCCTCTTCTGAAACAGAGCTTGTTCTAAAACTTGCAGGAGCGTCAAAAACAAGATGAGGGCTGTTCACCTTCATATCGCTCACGGGAGTTCCTGTCATCACTTTTAAAATTTCTCGCCAATGTCAGTACTGTGCATTCTGTCCAACTTTCAACCTGGATGAGCTGCAGACATATCTCTTACATTATTGTCATTTTCGTACAGCTTCAAAGACGCTGATATCAAGTTTGAAACGCTAAAAATGCCATAAATAGCTCCGATGTATCCGAGCTTAATCCCGGTTTGGGTTCTTGTGATTTCTCGGCTTTTAAGTAATTCCTGCTAAAAAACAATCACGAGAATGATAATACTGTAAGATATTTCTGCGGCTCAGCCAGGTTGAAAGGTGGATCACATGCACAGTATCATAAACGCAGCCATTGACGAGAAATTTTAGAAGTGATATGGCAGGTCCTTGAGCCCTATGGGACGCTTGTTCAGGGTGACTGCGAATTACACTCGAAACTGTGTAACCATGGGATTGGTCAAAATTAGCGATCGCTAGGGAGCTGAAGGATCACCGTTCCCAAAATTCCTCGAGTGCGGGCCGGGGCACTTGGGAGAATTGTAGACAATAAAAATATATAAAGTGCTGATTTAAGGCTTGTTTCCTTTTGATATGACTGGCCAGATATGGGATTTCCATACTTGGCCTGTAATATCACACTGTATCTGGCATTATGAGGCTATATCTGGCATATATACCATATCAGGTGATATGTGGCCAATTTTCTATGTGGCCATATCTCAAACCTTCAGATATTGCCAGATATAAATTTTTTGTAAGGAATTCTGTACACCAGTGTGTTACGTTATTAATATCAGGTTGAAAGGCATAGTTGTCGGAATCATTATTATTTTTATAAATAAAACAGTCGTCAGCTTACAAGCTAATAGAAGAAGAGATACGCATAAGTAGGTCGTTAATACATATGATAAATAATAGTGGACCCAGTAGGGAACCTTGTGCGACACGGGATTAAACGCTAGAGGCTGAAGAACAGGTTCAGTTGACGTAAACAAATTTACAGCGTTTTGTTAAAAACGATTCTATTAAACGAGGACATTAATGTCTATGTTTAGGTTATGAAGTTTATGTAAAACATATGCGCGAGGAGCCTTGTTGAAAGCTTTTGAGAAATCAGAGAATATGCAGTCAGTCCTGGAATCCTGGCCGAGAGTGACATGAAGGTCATGAGTAAATGTTAGAAGTTGAGTTTCGCAAAAATAGAAACTTTGGAATCCATGCTGGGCTGAATTAAAAGAAGAACTTTAATCCAAAAAGTTAACAAGATTAGAATGAATTACGTCCTCAAGATTGTTGCATGGGATGCTCGTTAAAGAGATGGGACGAAAATTAGAAGATTATGTCTATCGCCAGCTTTGCTCGGAGGAATCACCTTCCCCATCTTCCAGTCTCTTGGTAGAGTACCTTTTGGTCACGTGATTGCGTGAATATTTTAGATAATATAATGCTGGAATACACATAAGTACTTTTCAAACACTTGGCACAGATATTATCTATCCCGTTGACTATACCTTCACAGCCTACAATAACAAGATGCATTTGAAGAAATTCAGACTGGAAGTATTGGACAGGAAGATGTAACATGTATTGTCAAGGATCTAACGAAGATGTCATTAAATATTTAAAGGGCACCGATTACCCGGGACCGCACGTTGCAACCATCACTAGCTCGGTCACCCGTAAACGCGTCTGACCTTAACCCCCCCCCTCCCCCCCCCCCCCCCCCCCACCCCAAGTTTGTTCGTCCCGGTTTTGACAGGAAGAGAGCTCCGCCTTGAAATTTTATCAGGTAACATGCTCCCCCTCGATGCACATTAAGTGAAGTTAGAGTTTTCTGTATGCAGGTGCCGATTCTTCCCGCTTGTCTCACAGCGCTAAAATATAGAGAGAATACCCTCTTGGCGGTAAAAACGCATCAAAGTAAAGCCCATGCGCATTCTTTTTTTCAAACAGAGATTTACAGAGTGGAGCCAAGGAGATCGAAGAGAGAACAAGGAGGGCCATCAAGAAGACGATTCCTTGTAACATCCTTGATCCTAATGTCCTTTCGAAGGAGCACAGAGAGACATTCGACGTCGTCTTTTCCAGTCTCTGTCTGGAAAGCGCGAGCCTCGACGAACAGACCTACCAGAAAAACACGCAGAACATCGGCAACCTGGTAGCTCCTGGAGGATATCTGATACTTTGTGGTATTGCTGGGTCACTGGAATATTCGGTTGGTGGGATCAAATTTCCTTCGCTTTGCTTGACCTCAACAATAGTTACCAACTCGCTGATAAACGCTGGATTTGAGGTCAAGCGATGGAGTTCACTTGACAAGGATGCCACTTTCGATGACCCAGAGCGTTGGGACTACGTGTTTGTTGTCGTAGCTCAGAAGCCCATTTCGCCTTTCATCATACACTTTTCTCCAACAAAGTTCGGGGCTTGGTGTAACGAACTGCTTAACCCTTGAATAAAAGTCTCACCCCAACGGCATGACCAAAATTATAAACTAGCTACTTGAGACTATGCTCTTTAAGGCATATTAAATTGTCGACCATTACAGATACGATCTATTCCTAGAGTTACTGACAGTATCGGAACGGCAGAGAGGTATTTCAGTTACCCCCGCCTTCAGCGCGTGCTTTCTGCCTTCGATAATGTTTCGGTGCCTTGCGGGCCTTGAGCGTGCACGCTTAAAACACGGCGAAAGGCAGCGAGCGCATGCTGGATGCCGCGCTTTCGAAAGAGATGCCACAACCGTTCTGATCCTGCCAGTGGCCTAGGTGAATTCTGCTCGCAGATTTCGAGCGCTCCAAAAGCGCTCCCTTTGGAGTGCGCATATTCCGCTCGCAGATCTCAAGCGCCGTTCACACTCTTGCAACCGAGTACGACCGAGAGAGACAAAACCGGTTTTTTAATCCTCTTACGATTGTGATGATCGCTACCGGAGGTAGCGGTTACACCACCCTTGGGGTCCCTTTTGGGGTAGAGAGGAGAAGAAATGCCACGAGACTCGGATTTAAATTAGGACGTTTATTGTCCGACTGGGGACGTAATGTGTCCGCTCACCCGCTTGGGCCGGCGCTTGGAACCTGGCAGGTTGCACGTCATTCTCTCGTGTCGTGGCCTCTTGTCACACGGCACGGGCTGGTGAGGTCGGGCTGTGGCTCCTTGTCAGCAGGCACGGGCTGGTGAGGTCTGGCTGTGGCTCCTTGTCAGCAGGCACGGGCTGGTGAGGTCTGGCTGTGGCTGCTTGTCAGCAGGCACGGGCTGGTGAGGTCTGGCTGTGGCTCCTTGTCAGCAGGCACGGGCTGGTGAGGTCTGACTGTGGCTGCTTGTCAGCAGGTCGCTCGCCGACGTCCGTCCCGGGACAAGCTTCAGTCGCCGAGCCCTGACGGCCGATGCCTTTCAGTCCTTCGTTTCGTTCCCTCCCTGGCAATCGGGGCAGGCCTCGATTGGGACGCTCTTGATCTCCTCCTCGTTCTCGAGCCTTTTTCCCCTTCCGGAACCTCCGTGACGCTCTTCATCTCCTCCTCGTTCTCGAGCCTTTTCCCCCTTCCGGAACCTTGACGGACGCCAACCTCTAAACCCGTCAGGGTCACCAATTTTTACAGTCCCCGGAGACGCCACCCGTCGAAGATGATCCGCACGTGCAACACAAAAAGCGCGGTAACGCGCCAGACAAAAATAAGCCTCGCGTCGCCAGACAGCCGAAAGTTAGCCCTCTCCTTGACCCCAATACCTCGTCCCCTTGGAACGGAGGGCGCGCTGAGGATTAAGATTAGCCACGGTGTCCCCACGTCCGGTCACGGATAATCCACCAAAGTTGTTCTCGGGGAAGGTCCCCAGTTTGTGCGCACTTCACACGATGTCTTAGGACAAGCTCCGCAGCAGCGCGCCTAGTCCTAAGACGTCGCAAGAGGCTTAAAAACCAGCTGCCTCTCGGTCTTACTCGGTTGCAAGAGTGTGAACGAGCCTTCACTCGAGTTGGTCATCTTGCTCTCGTAGATCTCTGGCAGCGCCCGCTCCATCGAGCGCCTCCAACCTCGCCGAACTTGCTCCGCGGGATTTCAGAGATCTTTGCGGAAGTTGACAGAGCGCGCTACGTCACTTGCCTTAACTCGGCGGTGGCGCGTGCGCGACGGCCAGCGGGCCGCGCCGTCGACGGAGTTGAGTCGGTCTAGCTTGATCTGCTCGGATGCGTCGGTCGCTTTACGCGGGATCGTTACGGCTCGAACGCTTCTACCTCGCGTAGATAAGGGATGCAAAGCTGGGACTGGAGCGTGGCAAATTGCAAGCGCTGACATCTGTGATCGTGAAAGGAAGAACGGTAGAAAATCGGAAGGAGGCAGACGCAATGTTTCGCCTGTTCATTTTGCCGCCACTGTTTGTGTACCTTTTTACACTGCATGCCGCCGGCGTTTTCTCGTGAAATAAAGCAAGAACAAACTAAGCAACGACCACGCAGGTGATGGTTCGTTAGCTCGGTGTATAGGGAGCATTCACTGGCGGCCATATCCGTCTGCGCTTCAGCTGAGCGCGTGCTGACGGCGAGCTTCCGGAGTCCTTTTGGAGCTTTGCATTTAGCACCATCAATTTTGCCGGTCTTAGCAGGCTATTAATGTGAGCTCCTTCTGAACATGCGCTCTTAACATCGCCCTCAAATATGGCGTCCAGTGAATACCTCCTATATTAAAGTCGTACAAGAAATCTGATCTCCACCGATGGCAATCGCTGTGCGTGCCCCGCCGCTTCGGGGCGGCCGAAGGGTATGTGACGGTGCCGAATGCGGACGTCTTCCTCGTTATTTGTGACATGGGCTCCGTGGTACGTATAATTTCGCCCGTCCTGTGTCACGTGATATTTGTGCAGCTAAGCAGTGCCAGTTGTCACTGATCGTCGGAAAGATCAGTCGGCTGAGGCGTTGGTGGGCTTGTCAAGTTCGAGCAACGGCCATTTTCAACTTACGGCCGAGGGGGGGGGGGGGGGGGGGGGGTTGCTTTAAAGGTGCGAGTATTCGGAGCGGGTCCTACGGAACGGAATCTCGCCTCCCTCGCGGATTTTGGAAAGCGCTCCGGATCTGAGAGTGGAATTCACCATTAGTTAAATTTCACAATCAACCGATGTCGCCAGCGAAATCATCATGGAACTGCCAGCCATTAGAGCCGTTTTACAGTGGTCGGCTTCATTTAGCTATACGACCGGTGGGCGATAAAGTTTCTCCAACCGGGCTCCTACTGCATGCGCGCGCCGCGAAGATGTATGACTCCAGCCGGGGAAACACAGCTAATACATCATACGAAAGATATTCCGCAGATACTGGTTGAGGCATGTTTCTTTTCTTTTTTTTTTTTTCTCTTTTTAATGACGGTGCTGTCAGATTGGTGATGCAAAAACTGTATGCGGACATTTTGACGTGATACATACAACGTGAGCGAAATGGATTGAACGCAATTTAACTGACCGCATAAATCGATTTCTTAACTTATCACGCTGGGATTTACTACATGGGTGCTCGAAGGTGGTGCATTCATTAATTGGGAGTATGAATACATGACACTTCAGAAGTAAAAAAGAAAGCTGGCATTTTTTATGGAAAACTTCTCGTTAAGCCTTTTTTTTTTCAAAATCATCAAAAAATTGTTATGGGTTGTTTAGGCGTTTACTACAAGTGAAAACGTTGTGACATGGAAAGAAAATAGAATTGGCTTACCTATTGTTCCCTCCATTTCGCCAAAGTAAGCGCAACAGTAACGCAAAGTTTATTTTTAAGTGTACACGCAAAGTAAAGGGAAAAGATAGCTTTTTTTATTTTTCGATATTCACTCAGATGAGCCAATTTTTCTACAGTTTTAGAAAAGGTTTCCACAACCTTCAGGCACCACTGTAGTAAATCCCCGCGTGATAAGTTAAGAAACCGATTTATGCGGTCTTTTTAAAGTGCGTTCCATTCATTTCGCCCACTCTGTGTGTATGCAGCAAACACGCTTTGACCCTGCCTGAGGCGCGTGCCCGCGGATACGAGGTGTAAATAATAAGTTTTACTAGGGTGCCTTCATGTGCGCTTTGCTTAGGGTGGAGACATCTGGCCATTTTGTTCCCACTTTTACATTTATTTTTTGTTCAGAAGCGCGTGAAAGAGCGTGTCCCTGCACGGGTCTGTGGCGCTGACTGTGCTATGGCAACATTTTGTTTTCGTTGATTTCTTTGTATTTTCCCCGTGAGCGCGTGCTGTCGGCATCGGTTACTACAAAGGGTGGCGTCACTCTAAACAGAAGGTCATTGAGGCACCCTAAGTTTTACCTCCTAGGCTGGAACTTTTTTTTTATTCAGTGATGTAATTGAAAGATTCTACATTAATATCAGCGTTTGAAATCTCCTCTTTTCAGGAGCACATAACTTTTCATTATAGACCCCAGCGGCGTCGATGCACTTTCCCTACCAGTGCCCTACTCTCCGCACGTTTTCGTAGATGATTGAGGGCGGATGTAGACAAAACCAACGCCGCGCTGGAAGAGCTGCAGTTACACGATGTTTTGCCTCATTCAGCTTACAGCTCAGACTTGGCCCTACCAAACTTTTAACTGTTTTTTTTTTTTTAGATAGAGGATTATTTAAAGGGTACACGATCTTCTTCCGACGACGAGGTAACCCATGTAGCGCGCCGTTGTTGTCGTCCACAGCCTCCCTAAACCATCTACGGCGGCATACGGAGAGTAGCGCAAAGGTAGCGGAACTGCATTGCCGCCGCTGGACACTGTATTGAAAAGTGAAGTGTTCATGGGAAAGAGGAGACTCCAAACCTTCATTCGAATGTAACATATTTCCATTCCATCACATAAAAAAAACGTTGCAGCCTCAGAGGTAAAAACGCAGTGATGAACCCTTGTACTTCTGCCATCATGGCTGCATCGAACACCGTGCCTTTTGTATGATGTATTTGGAGGGTGACCTCGGCCTGAGGACAAGTATTCAACAACCCACAACAGGCGCGTTTTTTTTTTTTTTTGTCAACGTGTGCTTTAATGTTTGGCACAATGGTAATTTTACAGTATGTACAGGGGTCCAACAAAATAAATAGATCATAGTTCCGTGGTAGTTTCCACTCCAGCGATGTATCTAGACTTGTCCGCATTCGCCGTTGCGGGCGGATGCGCCTGGAGCATCGTGAGACCACTGGTCTTCTTCGTGGACGGTGGCGCTGCGTTCTGACTGTTCTCTTCCTCGTCGGAACTGGAAGTAACACGAAACAGCTTCAGACCGAGACGACCCTATAATGCACACAAAACGATTTGTGGACGTTACGTCGCCCTGTAACGATAGCCACCAATAATTTCAGCACGCACCGAAAAAAATCAGAACCCCCGGCTTATTATCTACCGCTTGAGCTCATTGGTCATCGCCTCAAGTGGTAATCAAAAAAATGTTTTTGCAAGATAAAACTGACCGTTGTTTTTCGACATGCATCAACGAAGCAAAACGTTATTACAATATTTCATGGTCACTGACTGCCGTCTAAGGAACGCGGGGCGTGACCAATCATGATTAGGCTTCTTGCTCTGTGATTGGTTCTTTCTCATCGACTGATTTCGCATTCCCATTGACTGCAGATGGATTAGCTACCTAAAACTCGCTACGCCCTGCATTTCTTGAGGGTTACAATAGAAGGGGATCTTGTCAAGCCCTCCTAAAAATATAAGTTCAGACGGCGACTGCTGTTCAAGTGCATAGTCGTGGTATACCGTCAAAGAGCGGGACAGAGCAGCACGCGCACCGTGCCGTGCTCTCACTTGTAGCCGATGTAGAGCGGGTTTTTGGTCGGGCCGCCGTTCACGGAACCGTCGAAGGCGGACACGCAGCTCCCGACCCTCGCCGTGGACGCGTTGCCGATGGAGCTGGGGGCCCCTTCCGTCGGAGACTCGCGCTCGTACAGGCTGCCGGCCAGGCCCCGGTTGCTAATGTAGGCCACGTCGTCGGCACTCTTGAGGCCAAACGGAGAGTCGTGGTAGCTGCCGTCCTCGTCAACCGGAACGCTCATCTGAAGCACCTGCGAATGGTAGACAGACACTAATGGTTCAAGGGGGACGCGTACAAATGGTTTGTGGATAGGGCGAGCGAAAATTAGTGTTAGCATTTCCAGAAAGCGCTCGTTAGTTGCAAATCGTTACCTTCACTTGCTTGCTGTCAAAATCTTCAGTGTCATCTCGAAGTAAAGTTCTCGTTTAAAAAATAATTTTCAGTAGTAACAAGTGTATATAACGTCTCTCTCTCTCTCTCTCTCTTAATCACATTTCTATCTTTGAAGCAAAAAGTCTAAGTGACACTGGTATTTCACTCAAATTGTCGGAATGCGACACTAGCGGTTCTTGTTGGACCTCTATGCAATTACGTCTTACCTGCGTCTCGTATTCCTTGAGGCTGGAGTCCGCGTACACAGGCTCGTATCGCGGTGCCACGCACATGCGCTTTATCCTTTCTTTATTCGCCACGTATCTGAGGGAGAAACACGAAACACGCATTTTAGTTTTACAAACCCTCGCTATCTTAACAAAGCCAACAAAAATAGATCTACATGTGTTCACAGACAAAAACGTATATTATTAAAAAAAACAATAAAAGAACAGATGGCATTGCGGAGCGTCCGCATACATGACGCGCAACTGGCCGGAAGCCGGGCAAAATGCAATACGTCCCTTCAAGTTGTATGTTTCATATTTGTCAAAGTCTCCTACGTTAGTTCGCAGCGTAAAGTTGCCTTTCTAACTTCTCGCCCAATTAAAAAATATTATATAAAACTTAATATAGGGGTGCCCACTCTAGCTTTTAATTTTTAGAACAATATGCTGAAGCAAAGGAGCATAAACACCCACACCTAAAAGATCGCCCACCCATATTTTTTTATATATCTCCAGTGTACGTGAGCTTTCATTCGATATTCTGTGGCAGTATCAAAGTTTCGATAGGAAAAGCTGTTTTTTTTGTTTTTGTTTTTTGTATAAACACAAACAAATGCATCTTGTATCAACGCGACCTTGTTTTAAAGGCCTTCACTTTCAAAGTTCCAGCGTTTTGAAGTTGAGGGGGTATCTAACGTATTTCTTGTCCGCAACACCATAGTCGCTGACACGATGAGACCGGCAGGGAAGAACTTCAGTTGTCCAGCCTTCAGCACGAGCTTCCTACCTTCGACTACGCTTCGGCGTCTCCTGTACCTAGAGCGCGCGTGAGCAGTGAATACACGACAGATGGCAGTAGAGCACATGCTGAAGGCCAGGCATTCAAAATACACAACCTGCCGTTCTCATTTTCCCAGTGAGTATAACTGCTGATACGGGTAGAAACCGAGAGAGAGGAGGAGACGAGAGCGCGTGGAGACACCAAGGTGCCGATCCCTTTCTGGAATGATTAGGCGGTAGAGGCAAAGCTAGCTGTCTTTGTCTCCACTGCGCTCTTTAAACGCATTTGAATACGTTTAAACAGTGAGTAGAGACATAGAAAGCTGGCTTTGCGTGTATACCTCCTAATCATTCCGAACAGAGCTCGCTGTTCTGACGTCCCCGCGCCCTCCCCACCTCCTCCTCTCCCTCGCTTTCTACCCATAGAGTTTCTTGGAACAACCCCAAGTATGAGCTTATGCCTTAAGTCTTCCCGTAAACAGAGCACATCGCTCGCTGTCATATACCTGGACCACATGCAGCAGTGGTACACGATGCCGACGAAGCCCAAGACGGCGATGATGCAGGCAAGCACGATGAGGGCTGCACCCAGGTCGCTCGAATCTCCGCCGCCGATCTTGACGGGGCGGACCACGTTGGGCGGGGCCGTGGGCACAGCGTACGGGGTTCTCAGCTGTTGCACGGTGATGCCCAGACTCCTCGAGATGTGGTCCAGGAACGTCGACTGTGGATTGCCCTCGGTCACGAGCCTGGGTGAAATCGAAACGACGCTCGAGTGCAACTGAAGACTGGTCAAGCTGTCCATTAGACCTGCGCTCTAAAGAATCTAGAGGGTCGACTCTTCTGAAAAGCACCCGAGAAAGCCAAGCGCAGCATTCTACGAAGACAGTTCGGTGAATGGAATATCTCCAAAGCTAAAACAAACCTATCTGCACACCCTGCACTGTCACACTGAGCATGATGAAATGCCATGCTTTCTGTAAGAACGCAGACTGTTGTTTTTTAGGCCTAGACATAATTTCAGCCTCGTTATCCATAGACTGGAACGATTGGTTCCCCACCTGCATTTAGGGAAAATTGACCTGCCAAATAAGTAGCACCCCTGGCAAGCAAAATCATGTGTTTAAATCGCATTTCTGTTGTGTTTCACCACGCTCGTCTGCGTTGATAAATATTTGTGAGGAAAAAACAACAACATGTACATAAAAGTAGAAAGAAATTATTACAGCTTTTTGATGGGACGCTGAGCGCGTCAGTTTTACTTTCTTTTCGATGATTAAAAAATATAAGTTTTTCAAACTCAATATTTGCGTGCGTGAAAAGACGCTAATAGACCTGACAGACGTTCATGATGAGCCGCTGGGACACCGTATTTGCTTGCGAACGCTAGCAGAGGCTACAGTGCCTTCTTTTCTGTGGTTGCGTCTTGCAAATGCTATAGCGCCCCCTGGCCCAGAGAAACAACTCTACCTATGCTGGTCAAAGATCGTGGCCGCAAATTGCTTTTCAAAATAGCTCCTTTAAAAAGTGGATCAAAGTAGCTCAATCCGTAGCCTGGATGAATTTGTTATTTTCGACTCACATCTGAATGCGAGGGTCATTTGTTGTCATAATCCTCAGGGTCTCCGGCTCCACTAGGTATATCCAAATATCGCTCCTGTAAAGTGACAATAAAAAGAAAAAAACATGTCAGAGATCTTCTTTCACAAATTAGACACAGAAATAAGCTTTACGAAACAACTCACCCTGACAGATCAGTGGCAATGGTGTTGTTCCTCAGCACTTTCAGAGCGACCACCTTTTCAACGCTAGCGATGAGGCGTATCTGCTGTTGAATAATACTGCATAAAAACCACAGAACGTGAAAACGATTATTACCCGTTTTTTGTTTGATCTCGCGCATTAAAATGCAATACAATTGATTTTCAATTAGAACTGAGAGTTAAGGGTAAATCTTGTTTTAATATATATTCTCAGTCTTACCCCATAATTTGATCTTTCAGCTGTAAAACCTTGTCCGGAAGCACATCTCCAACGGCAAGAACGAGTCTGTTTTCATCGTTGATAAGATTCACCTTAAACCGGAAAGGGAAACAAAAAATGAAGCAGCGCAATATCACACAATACATGAATGGTAGCCTCCTGCATGCATGGCGCATTTTTATGTCAGTCTTACACCGTTAAATTTAGAGGTGCCTTCCATCGCGAAAAACATTATCCCATAACAAAATGTCCTCCAAATTGCAATATGTTGTAAATAATGCATTGTCAGATATGCGAGTCCGAGAAAACCTATTTTTATCCACACTTGAGTTTCAGCGCATCTTTATACGCGACTGTGCCGCTTTAATATCGGAAAACTTCGCAGTGAGGTTCCGAATTTTCTACCTATCCTTCTGCCGAGACGTTACGAGTTACATTCCTTCTTGTGCCGGTTTTAATGTCTACGGAACTTATACCGATGGTCATTCGTCTGATTACTATGCGGAGAGGAGGTCGCCTGCTTCTTGCACAGGAGTTGTGGTGACGTCAGAATGACGCCGAGCTTTGATTGGCTTTGCTTGAGGGGTAGTAAGCAGAACTCGATGCTAGACGCCTTGAGGCCTACCCACTATATTTTCAATCAGCCAATCAGCCAAACTCGGTGTTCTGACATGATCGCAACGCCCGTGCAAGAAGCAGACGAACTTGCGCTCCGCAAGGTCACTAAGAAAGTGAGAACGGCAGGGCGTCTCTTTCCATCACCGGATGATATGGGTGGATGATGCGAATGCTTTATTCTTTATGAAAGGCGGTAGCTTGTGTTACCTAGTGTAGAAACCAAAAAGTACGATTTTTCCTCTTCGCCAATTTCCTTCCCCTCTCGTCTTTTTGTAACTCTCACCAGGCGGTGTGAAACAGCGTCAGAAAGACTTTCTCTACCCTCCCTCCAGCACGTGTCTGTTTCCTTCGGCAGTACTTTGGCTGCACGTGCACGATCGAAACTCACGAGAGGCCAAATCGTTTCGGAAGGTAGGAAGTTCGCGTTGGAGGCAGGACCGCTGAAAGTCCTCCCACACGTCCTTCGCATCCTGTCCGTGACTATAATGCACAATCCACGCAAGAGCTTAGGGCATTTGTGCTGCACTGGCCACATTACTTTTGAGCGGTCGAGTCACAATTTAGAGGCCGCTGTGTTAATAACCCTACAAGTTTTTCCTTTGACAATAGAACAAACTAGGCGACTGAGGCACATGCGCTGGTAAAAAGACCAAAAGCCAGGGTCTCAATGTCCGTGAGGGCAAGATGCTAATATAGGGGCTACATATGTGTTGTACCGCCCAATAAACCTTTATAAAGCAAACACGTTTCCGACGAATATGCCACTAAGAGAAATAGCAGCTTAAAAAGGATACTTTGACGTTATTTTTTAGATCTGGCAGTTATACAAAATTATTACTGAATCTCAAATACTTCAAACGCTTAAAAGTACCCGAAATTACATATAACGAATAAATTAGCCTGCTGATTAAGAATAGGATAATTCAGAATAGTACTACAAACAAACGTGACAAAAAATATGTTTCTTTTAGTGACATCTGTCAAGCTTAATGGTAGTTGACCTGAACAGTAGACATGGTATTCAAAGTTCACAATGATTTATTTCTGCTATTACAACCACTGGTAATATTACAATTCTAAACATTCCTGAGGTTCGTAACAACAATTAATCATTTCTAAGGCAATGTTTTACCAAAGCGTTAAGTTTTACGAATGTTCTCGGTTTATTTCTTCCCAGCGAGTAATATGAAATGTATACTCAACCATTAATATTAACATACCAATCTTCCCTAAAAGGAAATTCCAAACGTTTTAAACCTCGCTTACCTTTGTTTGCACAATTCGGTAAGTCAAACTCGTCGGATAGATCCACAGAATATTCGTCAATCACGCAACAACTTTGGACATCATGCGCTGCCTGAACTACTGAATCACCTAGCATTCATAAAAATTGAAGTCATCTCAGTAAACGAAACTGTCATCCTCAACAAAATTTAGATGCGTACTTCGTCTGTATAGCTGATGATATTTTACATTATTTTTGATGTTTATTTTGTGTTTTTTCGTTTGCATTGTATGGAGCCGAGGGCTTGTCAAGCTGCATAAAAGCAACTTTCTTTCTCGCTACCTCCATCCCTCGTAATGAAAATAAACAATGTTTCATAATTCAATATAACAGAAGTTTAAATAGAAATCCCCTAGAGATATATTTGTGAACAAGCTTGAACAAACTCTCAACTCACGTAGGCGTATGTAGACTCTGTGAGTGCCCTGGAGGTGAGGTCGGGGCTGTCCCTGGCCGTAATCTTGAGTTTCAAGGGCAAGCTGACTCCTTGGACGTCTTCGAACGTCTTCACGTTACTCAAATAGCCCGTCTGGGGATCGATGCTAAACTTTCCATCGGGGTCCGTGTCGGGGGAAAGGTCATATACAATTTTTCCATTGGAACCAGAGTCCAGGTCTTCGGCCTTTGAGATAAAAAGAAGATGCAATTGGTATGTTAGATACAATCTCGAAGTTTGCGCACATTACATCTAATGATAGCGAAGTTTAACAAAGTAAAGCAGATGTTTAACACCTCAGAGGACATGATAACTTGAGTACTAGTTAAGAACCTCCAACCTCCCTCGGGATATTTTTTTATTGTTACACAATTTTGATACTGAATGAAGCAACGCATTAGCTCGTTCAAAATATGTCATCATTACATCCAACGCGTGGAGTGTGATTGTACAAGTGCCTGGAGTTAAGCGCCCTCCGAGTCAATAAATAAAACATGATTCAGGATGAATAATGCAGCTAAGGCATTCCCATGTCCAATACGCCCTGAGAATCCATAAATAATTCATGACAATAAAAAATGCATACTTTTGCTAAGCTGCTTGGATGACACAAATTTTCTTTTGTTATCTGCCTTCTCTACACGCTACCGGAGCTTCAAAACAAAATAATAATAATTTACCTTTATTCGGTGCATGCCGATCATCAACCCTTAGTGTCTTACGACCACTGTTCAACTTCGAGAGATCGTAACATATTTTAATTTCTTTACGAGCAAAAAATAAACAAAATATTAATTCAACGTCACGGTTCTTTCGAAGTGATTTTTCCAGTCTGTACTGGCCGCGTTTACAGCTTCGTACTTTTACAATGAATTTTTGTTTTAGTGTGAGCAGAACTGCTTTTAAGAGAACTTGCGTTGGGATTTTTTTAGCCCTCGGTCACGTCGGTTGCCGGGCCATCTTGCGCCGAATCCAGCACCCACAAGTCCGCCTCGCAGGTGGCTTCAACAATGTGACGCAAGTGTTATTTTCTTTTTTTTTTTCTGGTTTTACGAAGACGAAACACCCTATAATATTATTTCTCATTACCGTGTTACGATGGTACCTCGTAAACATTAGACATTTTCACTTATTTCCGTATAGGCATCTGAGTCGTAGGATTCGGTACGAGCAGCCACTCACCAACACCTGAAGGAAACGGGTTCCCGCTGGGGCATCGGAGGAAACGGCAGCCAGATAGCGGTTCTGTGTCAGCTGGCTGTACATAGGAGGAACCACGAACCGAGGCCTGTTGTCGTTCTGGTCGATCAAGTTGATGGCAACCTGCGTCATCAGTCTTGACGAGCCTGCATCGGATGTATCGTGAGTTAAACTCAGAGAACCGCAGTTTGCTTAAAGAGAAAGTTCTCACGCAACTGCATCGTCACTACTCAGGCACATCACAGTAAATGCATGGCTGTCATTCATAACATACACTTGCAGTCGCCTAAAAATGATAAGAGATCTGATTTGTGTTGCTTAAAGGGCGACTACGACGACATTTTGGCAACTCAAACTAACTATATTTTCTGAATATCCGACCTTTACCCTTTCCGGCACGCTATTTAGTATATCTGAATTCAAAATAGATTTTTTTTTTAATCGTCAAATGAACGCGATGCGAAAACAAACGTTCAAATATGCCCGCGCTTTCAAGGGTGTGATATCACTGGCAGGCTAGCTTGCAGGTTGAGCAGGCTGTATAGAAAACACAGTACGCCGCGCACTTGCTTCGTGCTGGTGCGCGAGTGCAGGGGTGAGCTTCCAAGTGTCCAACTGGCACATCAACATTTTTGTAATCACTTGCCAACAAAGTCCACTGCCCAAAGATTGAAGCCTTACTTTCCACTTGCGTCACGTTTTCATTATTGCTAGTAGAGAATTTCATTTTCAAAAAAGGTAGAGGACCACAGTTATATTTTCAGAAAATTTTCGAAAACAACTTATTTTGGCGTAATATTTCAGCTTCAAGTTGAGCTGTTTGTTGGTGTGTTGATACAGCTTTGAGCGAAGTCGAAAATCATTAAAAGAACGCCGGAGTATTCATTTTATAGACGTCGAGTCTGCCGTGTCCCAATGATTAGTTTATATTACCGCGTGCATGATCGAGAAGATACTCTTCTCCGTCCGTTCGCCTAGATTTGAAGATTCGCGTAAACACTTACCCCGAGCGTAAACGATAAAGAGGCCAGAATGACCCTGACTAGTCAGCCTCGCCCTAGCTCTTTCCCGAACATTCTATACTTCGTTTCAGCTTCGGTCCGAGCGCGGCCGATGTTGTGAGCAGAAGGGCCTATCAAACAGCGCTAAAAGCGAAACGTCATGGCGTGCTCTCTGCAGTTGATAGGACCAGCCCCTATTCGCCGTGTCTCTGTGCGCGCTCCTCCGCCGGCTAGTCCTATCAAGAGCAGAGAGCACGCCATCACGCTGCACTTTTTGCGCTCTTTGACTGGCCCTTCGACTCATAACATCGGCCGCGCTTGGACCGAAGCTGAAACGAAGTATAGGACGAATATTCGAGATGGCGAGCATGGTGGACAAGGAGCCGAGCGACGTATTGCCGATTCATTCACTGATTGCCGCCAACGCTCACTGCGGCTTTCTCGACAGTGTTCTTCGTTTCTGGCACAAGTTCGCCTCTATTAAATATTTAATTAATTCTGTTTTATTCCGCTTCGTCGTCTGTCATTCGTGACAATATCTCCTTCAGAAAGGCTTCAGCATATTGCTCACTTCGAAAGTAAACGTAAATAAACGTGCTCCTCTTAATAAGGGATGCGACTTTAAAATATACGTTAGTTCGTACGCAGAACACATTTGGCTTTCCAATTAAACACCGACATCTCAACAGCTCGTATCTATTTTCTTTCTTGTCACGGTTTGATAAGGTAGTGAAAAACAGTCATTAAAATATATCTATCCAATATTTTTTTTATTATAGTCCTGAACAGAATCCCTGATTTGTTGTCGTAAACAAAAAGAAAACTTACTAATTCATATAAATAGTGTAAAATAGAAAGCAGACGAAAAGTAACAAATGACGAAAAATTTATATGAACAACATTGCCTTAAACTTTTTTGAAGATGATAAACGTGAAGTCCTGAAAGACAGAAAACTCCACCCTTCAGATCTAGGTAATTGTGCTCCATCAGCGTTCACGCCAGCTCCTCCAAATACAAAAAAAAAAGAAACTGAAGGTGTATTTATATTTATATTTCATTAACCGCTAAATATACTAGAATTCTCCCAAATAATGTAACTGATAAGGTTTTTGCGCTTCTTAGGAGCTTATCTACCAAATCCAGCAACCATCGACAAGCGAGCATGCAATTCGAGCAACTCTCTGTTTTGCGGTTTGAGTTGTTTTGAGCTACCAACACTAAACACATTTTCTGAATACCAGGTTTTACTCTTTCCGGCATGCTATTTATTATCCTTAAAGTAAAAATAAACAAGTCACCGAGGGTTTAGCAAATGAAGGTGATTCAAAAACCAACATCCACATTTTTGCTCTCTCTCTTCAGTGGGTGTTGTGACTTATATAGCTTGCAAGTCCATCGGAACGTCCATGAAACAGTATTTTGCGCGTATTTTTTTTTTTTTTTTTGCTTTGCTAGTGTGAGCTTCCCTACTATACATATCAAGCCATAAAACATCTTGTAACCCGTCGAAAAAAAGCTGAACATCCTCCATATTACAACATTTCACGCCACGTTTTCACTTCTGTCATTAGAGTTTCCCAGCCACTCGGATCAAATATCAAGGTTCAATACGATCGCGAAAAAAAAATGTATTGCGATGTGTGATTTGGATTTCTAGTTCAAACGTGTTTAATAACCTCTTGGACCTATTTTGAGGCAAATTATTGGCTTACAAGTTGTGCCGGACCTCCTCTTTAATAGCTGGGCTTTCTTCGTCAAAATTCCGCGAGCAAAATTTTTTATGTTACTTTGTGTGAAAAGATAAACCTAGCATATGTATGCATGAACCTGCAGGCAAGCATATAAGCATACATTGAATACAATCAAATGATGTTTCCCGATCTCCTGACGTGTGCGTCAGCAGGACTCACCAAATACTCCACCGATCGTGTTCAGGTGAACTGTCAGGAGGTATTTGTTCTGTTCTTCATAGTCAAGGTTCTGGTTCTGTACGCGCACTTCACAATCCCGTTGCTCGTTGTCCAAAATGTAGAAATGTCCTAAGGCAGCAAGCAATAAAAAAGTTCAAAAACGTTTGCAATTCTCTGTAATGCCGAATTAGAGCGCAGCTCTTGAGGAGGAGGAGGGGAAGGGAAGGGAGGGTATTTCTCTGTGACGTCACTCGTGATCTTCGTAACCCTCATGACGTCACTCATGACCTTCGTGACGTCACGCTTGATGTCACGTGTGACGTCACGCGGTTACGCTGACGGCGACAGCAACGGCGACGGCGACGCCGCTCAACCCGGAATAGGGCGCCTAAGAGCTGCGCTCTAAAATATTTTGATAATATTTTCCCACCACGTACACGATATTAGGTGTATGCGCATCCAGGTATAGCTGGGAACTTGGCTGAACCAAATTACGTAGGAAAGAAATCTAATTTGTATTTTGACGATTCAATATTATTTATACGAAGCTTAAATAAACTAAAATTTTATCCCGCAAAAACATTCCAATTTTCTTATATAATTTCTAAATAAATAATTTTCTACGACATTTTTTCGCCTATTCTTAATAAAAGCAACTAAAAACGTACTGGAAACGTCTAAAGATAAGTTTAAACAAAAAGGGTAGTAAATGTTCTCTGTAATGTCACAATCCAACTGGCCCTGGTTCAGTATACCTTAAACCGACACGACGCGAACACCGATGAAGTAAAAGCTAAAAATAAACACTTCTATTAAGAATGCAATGCTTCTTTACATTTACAATTATTTATGACCACTACAATATAAACGTTACAGCTCACCCTTTTCGTTTCCAGTAACAATTTGGCACTGTACTGGAAAGTTCCCGCGTGGCTTGTTGACGATCGGAAGAGCTTTTACCAAAGTATTGGCCAGTGCGTTTTCAGGAACTTCAACTCTGAATATTAGAAAAAAGCATAATAATCAAAATATAGCTCGGCAAGGAATATACATGTTGAGGTTGTTTGTATTTTAGTTTAATATTTTGCTAAATTAGGAGAATGAGGGGGGTTGCAATGTCATTTAATTTTTCAAACTGAATTGCTTCAGCAATCAGGTTGTTTTTTTCTTCCCTGCCTATTGAGAAACTAGGTAATTTTACAATTTTACGTTGTTCTGCTTCACGGTAAAAATAATTAAAACAAACCTCACCATCCTTGAAAAAATATTTATGGAATCTAAAGTTTATATCCGTAAAAAAAAAAAGAATCATGGGCAGTTGTTTGAAAGATGATTGTATGGGTAGTGCCACCATCGTCTATAATCTATACCGTAGTTTTAACACGATAACGTTAATGTCGCCGAAAATCCGGCGTCGGTGGAGTGAAGAGAAAGTGCTGGCGTCGGTGACGTGACAAGAAAAGCCGGCATCAGTGGCGTGACAAAATTAAAAAAAAGCCGGTGTCGGTGGCGTGCTGCGAAGTTCCTGATTGGTCGATAGGGTTATGACGTCGCAGCCTCATGGCCCCGCGCGGGAATTTCAACCAACCCATAACGCTCACGTGAAATGTTACGTCAGGCGTGAAATAAAATTGATTAAAAAACATAAGATATTATTCGAATTGAGGGACTCAAATTATTCCACTCCAGAAAGGCGGGATTCGAACCCACGACCCTTCGGTTACGAGCCAGACACACTACTGGCTAGACTACGCTAGGTACACTTGCACGGCTGGGGACTGAGTGGGAGTTCATAGGTTTAGATGTGACGATATCGCATTCTACCGTCCTCCAGGTTTTTATGTTTTTTAATTCTAATTTTTAAAGTTTATTTTTGGAAAATGGAGTAAAGGTTTCATGAAAGCCATCTTCAATGGGAGCTTATTAGAATCGACATATATTAGACAGGGGAATTACCATCATATCCACGAGAATAAACAAGTAAAATTTGTTAATAAATATTTTAATTAATAGCCGTATGGGTGAGATTGCAGTGGCACCCACATGATTGAATGCTGTGAAAAACGGAACAACAAAAGTGGCCGACGCTTACGTGTAAAATCCGTCGGCGAATCCCAGTCCCGAATCCGGTGGCACAGTTGCAATGTGCTCCACGTAGACGGTGACCACCGCGCTGGCAGCGAGAGACGGGTCTCCAAGATCGTGCGCCTGCACCTCAATCTAAGACGGTAGGAGAGCAAGATTAACCACTCAACGTAGCGGCATCCGCAACATCAGAAATTGAAACCTTGACCAAGCGGTTGACGTGCCGGAGATAAAAATTCGCCTCCTTGCGACCCTTACGCCACATGTGTATAAAGCAGTCGAAAACAAAATGCTCTTACTTTATTACAGATATATCGCCCACCAAGATGTTGCTTCAATCTTTTAATAACTGATTTTAATTTCCTGAAAGTGAAAGAAGTGCCTGATCGTGCAACATAACAATTCGATTCGGCACGCCAAATTCTCCTCTTCTTTTCTGCACACATCTATTCGACTTCGGGGTAACGCCCCCGTTCTGTTCGTCAGTTATTTCACAGCATCTGTGAATTCATAAGCTGAAATAGAAATAGCGGCTTTATGAGACTGCTCGTCCACTGACCCTGTACTCAGAGTCCGGTTCTTTCCTGAGGTCGTCCTTGACCGTTATGACTCCGCTGGTGCTGTCGATCAGAAAGTAGAAAGGCGCTCTACCTTTACCGCCAATCTCGTAGCGAACCACGTTTCCTGGAGCCTGCAATTAAGAAAAAAGAAATATTAGACCTCTTAGGTATACGCTTAATGAAACGCTGTAAATCGAATCATGATATTGAAGAAAAAAACTCGTTTACAAAGAGTGCAGTATATTCACGAAAAGATGTTTTAACCGCTAGTTCAGCATTATACTATACTCTTATCGTATAGTGTAAAGTATTCAGTATCAAAATTTGATCCTGAAACTTTTAGTGAGCTTGCAAGCAGGCTGACGAATCGGAAACAATACTGAAACCGATTGTCTTTAATTTAGGGGTGCTTAAACCTTTGACGGAGGTGATTACACATTTGAAAGTGCCCTCCTAAACGCGAAACTGTGCGGACCGCGGAGGTGTTGATATAGGTTGTCTTTGGAGAACCATCAACGTTGTATTCGCCCGGTGTAGCGCTTTGCTGTGCAATATGTAGTTTTTGAATTAGACGCTACGCGCATGTGATGCTAACTTCGCGTACCAGCTGCTCTGGGGGTAGTGTCAATGGGAGCCCTGGCTCTTCCGATTCAGGCTTCCAACGCTTCTAGTATTTCAACTCGGAGGATGATAGCTTATAATTTGACAGAGAAGCTCTTTAAAGTACCTCCGGTTAGGAACCTGAAGCCGCGGGAATGTCGCGGGAGCGGACTCGCCAAAATGATGCCGGATAGAAGAAAGAAAACATGTTTTCTTCTTCAATGTTTTCATTTAATGCTTCTAAACACCTTTCAAGCAATGTAGTATCGGGTACGACTCAAATGCGAACAATGCAGGGCGTGGCCTTCGATACATGCTGCGCAACTTAGAGGCCACTAGAAACAAATAAAACCGCGGAGTGGAGAGAAAGACTACAAAGGTAGGCTCTTCGTATGTACGTCGGAGTAAACCGCGCACTATCGCAGCCCCCTGACCACCCCGCAGTTTTATCAGTTCCTAGTCGCATCTAGGTAGCGCAGCATGTGACGTTTGGCCACGAGCTCTGCTGTTCGTATTTCATTCGTACTCGATAGTACTCTCACTAGACAACCAAAAAAAGAAAAAGTCTGAGTCGATATTTTTGTGTCTACTATCGCTTCTGAAACAAAACCCGACAACTGGGAAACATATTTTGGGGAAAGAAAATTCGGCCGTCAAAAGGGGGAATTAGCGCATGCAGTTGCAACTCAGTTGAGCAAACCATCGTATTCTTTTTCCCTTTTTTTTATATTTCTAAAGAATATTTTCTTTCAAATAAAGGAGTCTCTTAATCGCAGTGTTAAATATTGCAATAAAAACATTTTAGTTTTACTTTTCTATATTTTTATTAGTATATTTTAAACTACTTTACAGAAAACCTCCCATTGCATAAAGTCACGAGGTTCGCGCTTTTTTTTTTTTTTTGAAACTTACTTAAACTATTTAGCAACTTGATTCATTCAACCTGTTGCACCAACAAAGTTAGCTTATATGCGTTCCCATAAACCAAACTTCAAGTTTTAGCAGTTGTCATTCTTTTCGATTAGGTCGATCGCCACATATTCTCAAAACAAGAACATTCCCACATTTTCTTTTAATTCTTCTTTGATGCATTCAAAAATTATTGTCACTTTTTAATGGTCCATTAGATCTGTCCCGGAGCTAACAAATATACTGATTTGGCAAAATGACAATAACGGTATTAAAGATTAGGCAATATATTTCCAGCAATAACGGTGTGAAAACGCTGAGTGGTTCAATTGAAGTGTCGCACAGCGCTATAATACACTCGTCCTACAAAGTCCGATAAAGAACCTACTTTCTTGAATCTTTCTTTTTTATATACAGGGTGTTTCAGAGAACGCAGGCCGAATCGCGCCCCGTGGAGAGATAGTGCAACCAACCTCTGCTGCGGGCGCGGTGCCGCCGGGTCTGAGATGCGCTCCGGTAGCAAACCGAAACTTAAAAACATGTCGAATTTGTGCGGTTCTGCAAAAAGCCGTAAACTGCTTTTCGTGCCTTCTATCGTTCTGCAATTTGTTGATTTAGTGTTTTTCGGTGATGTAGAGCAATTTTCTAATTTAAACCATGCCATTAAACAGAATATCAAACAGTTAATTACTCGAAAATAAATAACAACTTAATTATCCCGGACTTTAATCATTTTCCTAAATGGGCCCCTGGCCCACGACCCAAACGCCACAAGCCTTTTTTCGTTGCGATGAGTAGTTTTCGCAGGAGCGATTTAACCTGCGTTCTCTGAAACACCCCGTGTACCGGAGACTTACCGATCCGTCTCCGTCTGAGGCAACGACAGTCGTAACGATGGTTCCAAGGGGCACGTTGTCTTGCAGGCGTATCGGCAAGGGCACACTCGTAAAACGGGGAGCCACGTCGTTTCGGTCCTGGAAGACCAAAGCACGAGTTAAACGCACACTCGATATCCATTAGTAGATGGCCTTGTCCGTTAGACGTGAGTTGGAAGAGAACGTGTGGTTGCAGTTGTTAAGGCGGGATTTCACATTTTGGCTTGAGTGTAGACGAGTGCGTTACAACGGAATTGCCTGTGACCAGGGTGTTGGAACGAAATGTTTTTCGTTCCGTTTTCATTTTCGTTCCATACAAAAAATTTCCGTTCCGTTTCCGCTCCGGAACGAAAAAATAATGCTCCGTAACGGTTCGTAACGGTTTCTTTCTAAAAAAAAAAAAAAATATATATCGCAACAAAAATTAAAAGGAACGTAACGTTTATTTTTACACAAAAATAGATAATTCAGGCGCTCCAGAGAAATCCGCGGAAACGACATTGCTTCTGAGATCATGTTCATTGCCTTGAGAATGAGATCATGATCAAGGCACCGAGCATGATCTCAGAAGCAGCACGTCATCAAGTGTGCTCGGTGAAAGGCAGGACCTCTGGTCCGATAAAATAAATTTCAGCGCCGAAAAGGCCCTGAAGGCCCATAGGGATGAAGAAGAACACTTTTGCAACAGAGTATCAGACTGCCGTATCCGTAGAAAAACAGAAGATGGACTTCTACAACGCCGGGTCACAAACTTCCCGCGCTTGCCGTGATCTGTTGTCTGTCTGTGTCGTCCGAAGAAAGCATGGAGGGAGAGGGCGCAAGAGCCAAGGAGAGCATTGCGAGCGTGTGGAGGCGTCGCGTCACCGCGCTCTCATTGGTGGGAAGCAATGGCGCCTTGCGTCATGTTTTTTGTTTCTCGTTGTATTTTTTGTCCTTGTTTTTGCTATGCTTGTTCGCCCAGAGTTTAGACGCGGGGGCGATGGCTTGCTTGTCTTCTCTTTAATTATGGTACAAACCAACGGCAGTCTCTTCGCTGCGTGAAACGAATTACTGAAATACCTGATATTCTCCCTTGAACCGAAAACCGATAAGAAAATTTTTCGGTTTCACTCCGGAACAAAATAATAAATAACGTTTCGATTACGTTTCCGTTCCGCCAAAAAATATCGTTTTTTTCGTTTTTCGTTTTTGGTTTTCGTTTTGTTCCGATACCCTGCCTGTGACTCCTTACGAGTCACGACGAGACAACGCACTGGCACACTGCCGCCATTTGTGAGGTCGCCCAGAAACTCGTCTAATCTGCGTATAACTAAACTAAAAAAATATATGGGTGACTTCATCTCAAATCGGGCAGGCTAAAAGGGTCTGATTTTTAATTTTCACGAAAAAAATATATGTTTTGGGGGTATTTCTCAAATGAAGGAGGGCGCAAACCGCATGTTCTCCCGATTTTTCGTTCTCGAGTACCGAGCCGTAGAAGCCGCAGTGGCAGAAACTAGTGTCTTTGCCTGCCGTCGCAGGTCGCGTGTTTGACACCCTCTGCTGACGTTATTGTTTTCTCTACACCCTTTTAACTTTTCCCCCTCATTTAATAGGTATTATAAAGATACCTTGATGTATTCAAATATCTTTAGGAATTTGATTGTTTTCTAAAACACATGTCAAACTCGTCACTCCGGTCGCTTTTCGGTTAAATTTGACAGGTCATTACTTTGTCTGTACTTAAGGTAAATTTTCTTTCTCTGGCTCTACAGAAAGACCAAAGCAAGCCCATTATAGATATAATAATACTATTATGATCTGTCGACTAGCCGCTCCGCTACCTTCACGAAACGTTGTAAGAAATAACAAATGTTGAAAGTTTGAGGTCGATTTTCTCAAAAACCCCATTTTTGTAAATTTTTCTTTTTTAATTCTTTTAGACATATTAGTCTACTACAAGAAAAACAGTCTAGAAATGTAATATTTTGGTTGTATGTCCTCTGTTCGAGCCGCAACCGCGTGAAATGTGTAAACATTTGTTATTTTTCTCAACGTTTACGTGAAAGTAGCGGAGCGGCTACTTGGCAGATAATAAGGATATTATTATATCTATAATGGGCTTGCTTTGGGCTTTCTGTAGAGCCAAATAAAGAAAATTTACCTTAAGTACAGACAAGGTAATGACCTGTCAAATTTGACCTAAAAGCTACCGGAGTGACGAGTTTGACATGTTTTTTAGAAAACAATCAAATTCCTAAAACTATTTGAATACATCAAGGTATCTTTATAATACCTATTAAATCAGGGGGAAAAGTTAAAAGGGTGTAGAGAAAACAATAGCGCCAGCAGAGGGTGTCAAACACGCGACCTCCGACGGCAGGCAAAAACTCTAGTTTCTGCCACTGCGGCTTCTACGCTTCGCAACTGAAGAACAAAAAATCTGGGAAACATGCGGATTGCGCCCTCATTTATTTGATAAGTGCCCCCAAAACATATATTTTTTTCGTGAAAATTAAAATTCAGACTTTTTTATTCTGCCCGATTTGAAATGAAATTTCCATATCGGGCAGGCTGAAAGGGTCCAGCATTTAATTTTCACGAAAAAAAGGTATGTTTTAGGGGCATTTCTCAAATGAATGAGAGCGCAAACCGCAAGTTCCCCAGAATTTTTGTTCTCGAGTTACGAAGCGTAGAAGCCGCAGTGGCAGAAACTAATGTTTTTGCCTGCCGTCGCAGGTCGCGTGTTTGACACCCTCTGCTGGCGCTATTGTTTTCTCTACACCCTTTTAACTTTTCTCCCTAATTTAATAGGTGTTATAAAGATACCTTTATGTATTCAAAGAGTTTTAGGAATTTGATTGTTTTCTAAAAAACATATCAAACTCGTCACTCCGGTCGCTTTTCGGTCAAATTTGACAGGTCATTACTTTGCCTGCACTTAAGGTAAATTTTCTTTATTTGTCTCTACAGAAAACCCAAAGTAAGCCCATTATAGATATAATAATATCATTATTATCCGCTGAGTAGCCGCTCCGCTACCTTCACGTAAACGTTGTGAAAAATAACAAATGTTCACACATTTCACGCGATTGCGGCTCAAACAGAGGACATACAACCAAAATATTACATTTCTAGACTGTTTTTTCTTGTATTCGACTAATATGTCTAAAATAATTTAAAATATAAAAATTTACAAAAATGGGGGTTTTGAGAAAATCGACCTCAAACTTTCAACATTTGTTATTTCTTACGACGTTTACGTGAAGGTAGCGGAGCGGCTAGTCGACAGATCATATTGATATTATTATATCTATAATGGGCTTGCTTTGGGCTTTCTGTAGAGCCAAAGAAAGAAAATTTACCTTAAGTAGAGACAAAGTAATGACCTGTCAAATTTGACCGAAAAGCGACCGGAGTGACGAGTTTGACATGCGTTTTAGAAAACAATCAAATTTCTAAAAATATTTTAATACATCAAGGTATCTTTATAATACCTATTAAATGATGGGGAAAATTTAAAAAGGTGTAGAGAAAACAATAGCGTCAGCAGAGGGTGTCAAACACGCGACCTGCGACGGCATGCAAAAACACTAGTTTCTGCCACTGCGGCTTCTACGGCTCGTAACTCAAGACCGAAAAATCGGGAGAACATGCGGTTTGCGCCCTCCTTCATTTGAGAAATACCCCCAAAACATATATTTTTTTCGTGAAAATTAAAAATCAGACACTTTTAGCCTGCCCGATTTGAGATGAAATCACCCATATATATATTTTTTTTATATATTCGAGATTAAGTTTACGACCTATCTTTGATAGATGGTTGCTTGCAACATTGCATAAATTGTTTCAAGCCCAGAGTAAAACATTATGAAATATACGCAGATCAGATGTGCTCCAGTGCTAGCCGATAGATGGCGCCAGAGTGTGTTCTCTCGTCGTAATCAATTCCAAGTGGTTGCGAGGCAGTCGGTCAAACTCAAACGTACGAACTAGAGTCACGAAGTACTAGCTATGCTACAGAGTAACGGCACTTCCGCCATCTCGGTGCTTGTTGCCAGCCATCTTAAGCTTTCTCTGAAATACCAGGAAAACATTATTCGTTCTCCAGAAATGTTAAAATATCCCGCGACAAGGCAAAACGATATCGCCTGGGCTTCTTCACATCGTGTTCAAAGCCCTGAAAAGTCATATTTTTGAACTGGGACGATCACTAATAGACCCTTTTCAAAAGCTCATCGGGCAACATTGGTGGTGGCTATTGCTTGGAGACGTAACGTGCGATTGGATCAGAGTTAACGCAGAACGCTGGCGCAACCCTTGTATTCATCCAACTACGCGCTCAGAGTACGTGATCAAGCAAAGGCGGACATGCGATGGCACTGACTTTTGAAAAGGGTCTACTACTCCCGCTCTCGACAGAACACCAAAATGGCAATACCCAGAAAAAAAAAAAAAAAAACATCGGGGAATAGAGCGACGGTACTCTAATGGTGAATTCAAGTGGCAGATCGCGAGCGCTCCAAAAGCGCTCCATTTGAAAGCGCATATTCCGCTCAAAGATCTGGCTCGAGTTGGTCATCTTCCGCTCGTAGATCTCTGGCAGCACCCGCCCAGTGGAGCGCTTCCAAAAGTGGGATCAGCGGGATTTCAGGGAGCTTGGCGGAAGTTGATAGAAGCACGCTACGTACGTCATTTCCTTTAACTCGGCCGTGCGCGTGCGCGCGCGCAGCGATGTTGGCGAGGTCGCCCCAGTCGCCGGTTTGGCCGGGCCGTCGAGTTTGATTTGTTCGCGACCATGAAAGTTGTGGTTTGCTACCTTTTTGTGTTTATTAAAGTCTTATCAGCAATCTGAACTCCGCCAATGGAGCTCGCTGTGCGTGCCCCGCCGCTTCGAGGCGGCCGAAATATGTGTGACTGTGGCGAACGCAGACGTCAGCAGCTAAACAGTGACAGTCGTGACTGGTCGTCGGAAATCTCAGTCGGCTGAGGCGTTGGGCTTGTCAAGTTCGAGTGACGGCCATTTTAAACTATCGACCGTCTCGAGCGGGTAGCTCCAAAAATGCTCGTCGATTTGGAGCGGGTCCCACGGAGCAGAATTTCACCTCCTTCGCGGATATTGGAAAGCGCTCCGGATCTACCAGTGGAATTCACCATAAGCGTCTCCTGTTTAGTGGCCCTACGGTATCTCTGCTGTTGACGTAGGCGACACGAACCTCGACCGCCACGCGCACTGTGCAGGTGGCCGTGGGATCCGTCTTGTCGTTCTCCAGCGTGCCGATGACGAGCGTATGACTCGTCTTCTTCTCGTAGTCCAGTCCCGCCAGCGTGCGCACCACTCCGCTGACGGGGTCGATGGCGAACAGGGTCTGGTCGCCCTCGCGTATCGTGTACGTGATGCTCGGCGTGCTGTCGGGGTCCGTTGCCTGGGGGGATTCCCCTTGATTAGATCAGAAGCAATCCCGAATATGATTGAAGCCTTTTTTTTTTCTCCTTTTTTATTAGTATTTATTGTCAAGTTCTGTAGAAATCGTACGACGTGGTAAACTATATGCATGACTTGCCTCGAGGAATCTTATAATTATTGTTAAATTGTCTGCTCGGCCGTGGAACGCGTTCTTAAGGTGCAAGTAGCTGTTCTGTGGCATATTAGACGCCAAATATTCGTCTAAGGCCTAACGGCTCGGTATTTTGCACCTGTATGATAAGCGCTGGAAGAGTCGGTAGTCTGGAAAAGTGCTGGATAAGTCAAAAGTCGGAGCACGAGTGGGGAGTAATAATTATTAAAATAATTATCTCAAGTTTAGTCATTTCCTTCCTAAGTTTACTCTTTTTTCTTTTTTTTTTATACGGACAAATTGAATGGAGGCTCGTAGCCAGCCGTCAAGAAGCTCATAGCACTTGTAGAAACCTCAGAAAACACATTTCTGCCGTCTACTATTCACTGGCGCATCGATTCAGTCAAGGGTCTGAGAGATCGAAACTAAAACGCCCAAGTGCCACAAAAGACCCACCCCAAAGAGGCGGCAGTGTTCACTGTGCGAGCGGGTGGCGCCTGGACGCGAGTCGATCTGGCCTCGAGGCGATATCTTCAAGCTCTGTTCTTGCAGCAAAAGTGCGTTGCACTCTCGCATCCCTTGTGTAGCGAGACCTTGGACTTCGCTTTTTCTTGAATTTTAGACCTTGCATTTTTGCTTTTACGTTTCCTTTTATTTGGGTATGCTACTTTCTAAAAAGTCTCCATTCTCTCCAATACAAAACTAAATTATTCCCGGAGCAACAGGCTCAAGGCTGGCGGTACGAAAACGTAAATGATATGCGCGCGGTGATGTTCTCATCCACGTTATCGCAACTCCAACCTCGTGCCTGTTGCAGGACCATTAGCTATTAGCCCCGTGCGCGACCGAAAGCGTCGCTGTGGTCGGCCTTCCACGATTGGCCCAAAAGCTGACTATGACGTCGGAAAGGGTATACCATCGACGGAAATAAGAGGAATGAAAGAACTTTAATTTCGACGGTGTTGGCAGTGTTGCTTTGAGAGCGCAATGATTTCAGGCTTCCACCATGCTATTTACAAACACCATCGAACCTGTTGTTCGCAAGGTAATGACGTCACAAGGGGGAACCATAGGAGGGCGCCACCAAAACATCTCGCCGCTACGCGCTCGATTTTTTTTTTTATGTACATATTTAGTAGTGTACGACGACGCTCAACCAGTTTTAAAATAAAACCATATATTTATTTCACTAATTAAAATTTTATTCGAAAGACTTTAGGTAATTAATTATCCGACTTACTGTGAGCATCAGCTACCTATATCACGTCCCCCTGGTCGTATAACACACCTACACACATCGCTTTCATGGATCTAGAAAAAGAAAAATATCCTGTAGAGAAAAGGAAGAAGAAAAACACGTATGGGAGCCCGAAAAATAGACAAGTTTGCTGAGTCTGAAACGTTCCCTTTTTGTGCCTTTCTCTCCAAAGGTCCTCACGCTTGTAACACTGTCTCGAGTTTTTCACGATACAATAACATTTAACAGCCACGAATTTAGGGCGAGATAAGGGAAAACCCGTCACCTTGACTTGCACGACGTTGATGTTGTCCTGGTTCTCCGGCACGGACGACTCGTAGAAGTTCCTCTCGAAGTAGGGGACTTCGTCCTGTACGTCCAGCACGTGCACGGTCACGCTGGCGGTGGTGATGCGCGCGTCGGGAGCCTTGTCCTTGGCCGTCACCACGAGCACGTGTTCCTTCTGCCGCTCGTAGTCCAAGGCGCGACGCGTCGACACCTCGCCCGTCTTTTCGTTGATCCCGAAGTCACTGCAAGGACGTGGACGAGCGACGGTGTGTTTTTCAGCACCCTTGTATTATTAGTAATAACGTGAAGAATAACAGGCAATTACTTGACTTTCGTTAAGAGATTAATCGAATTGCATTCAATCCTGCATCTGGTATTACACTGCTGAAGGCCCGCAGGATTGTTTGGAAAATTCAACATCCCGTCTCAATATTAAAGAAACCAAAACAAGGACAAGCAATGGGTTTTATATTTTCCAATCTTGGAAGTAGCCTGAAATGTTTAAATACGTTCAAATATTATTATTGAATATTTTAATTAAGCTACCTTATGCTTTATTTTCAAAATAACTACATTTGGTATTGCAGTGCACAGGGGGGATCGGTGGTTGAGTGGGCTAGCACAGATTAGCTCGGAGCACGTGGATCGAAACCTCGCGCTGCTGAACCTTGGAATACTGGGATCTTGTCCCATCCCTGCCCGTTTCGATCTGGATGAGCATCGTACCAGCGTGCGGTTGGGTATCACCACTGTGTGATGCACGTTAAAGACCACAGGCTATAGGTTGTACTGCACTGGCTAAATTGCTCATCTACAGGTGAGACACGAACAAGACGCCCTTTGGGCCGAACTAAATTCAGGCGGTATACACACAACACTATTACTGCATAAATGTTTCCTGAACATTATTCCATGTGTTTATTTGTGCATCGCATAGGTGTTTTGTTCCACTTTTTAAACTTCTATGTAGGCTTTCTAATATTTTATAATATTTTAATGTTACGTTTATGTATGTTTTACTTTATTGTGCGGTAAAAATCAATGTAAAATATGAGTTATTTATTTAATAAACATTTTAGCTTTTCATGGCCACCGATTCTGTGCTAGTGCATAAAGCAGTAAATTTGCTTAATATAATTTATGGGTAGTCCCTTTTTACTTTAAACATTGGGATATTGCTACCTGAAATAATACATTATTCATATTCTGAATATAACCCGCAGACTGTGTCACACTCACCCATTTCCAGAAATCGTGTAGTAAACTTCGCCGTTTGCACCAATGTCCTCGTCTCTTGCCTTTGAGAAAATCAAATGAAACCAGAAAATTCATTAGAATGCAATACGCTTACATGGTGGCTTTTCAACAACGTTTAGCAAACTGAGTGTTTAAAAAAAAACTTCATCGACACCGTTTGAGCTAGAGCAAAGAGTTTCATCTTACCTGCACAGTTCCCACGACGGCTCCAGCCTTGCCTTCTTCTACAGTAAAATTGTAGCTTTCCTGAACAAACACGGGGTTCTGATCATTGATATCGGTGACGGTGATGTGCACGGTGGCCACGTTGAACTGGGGGAAAAGCGGAAAGCATAAAGCACACCGTGATTCGTAATAATTCAAGAAACTATTCTAGTACAACGCACATTTTGTTAACTTACTCAATTCTCACGCTCATCATAATAATGTTTTAATCTTCGTATTCCCTTCACATTACTTCTCTAATTGTTTTAAAATTATGTACATATGAACACATATCGTTTTAGTGCCTAGGCAATATTCTTAACATACATACTCTAAACACAAAACATTGATTTGCAGACATTTTGTTGATAATGTGATTAGAACTTTCGCTATAATGCAAGGGTAATGGTAACATCACTGAGAGTCTCCTTGTAATAATATTCTCGGTAAACACTGAGGTGTAAAGCAGTGTTCGGCAAAACTTAAGTTTTTCTTGTGTTTTTTATGCAAATTTTTAGAAACACGTGTCAATTTTTTTATCAGTGGCGGCAGCAGTATTTTGCAACTAGGAATACGTTGAATCAGAAGAATGAACAGGTTACATTAGCTCAGTAAAAGTCGGCGAGAAATATTGGTACAAATCTAAACAAAAACATTAACTAGTCAAATATATCGTTTTAAGTTAAACCTTTCATGTATGTATTTTTTTAAGTCATAAAAATATTAGGAGATACCTAACTGCGGGTGATTTGAAAAAATATTCAAAGTATTACGCACACGCAATATTCTTTTCTTTAATCAAAAAACACCTCCGACTTATAGATTCACTGAGTGCACCATAAAATAAACCGCCTTCGTATATGCTAAAGTTCGTTGGAGTTTGTGGAGTTTCTAACAAATGTACGGGAAACAATTTTGACCGGTTTTGTTTTACACGTGGTGTCCATAGGTGCTACTGAAACGAAAAGACTCCTACCAGGTTGCTTTTGTCTTCAGCCTTAACCTGTAGAGTATGCGATGACACCTCTTCTCGGTTCAGACGCTTCGCGATGGTTACAGTGCCACTGGAAATAAAATGTAATCGAGTTAGGTTCGGGAGAGTCTCTTGGGCAAAAGCTCATTCACACCGAAAGATTAGTCGATACTCAGTTTCACTTTAAGTCCGACCGCAGTCGAAGCGACCATGCCACGGAACCAATCGAGCAGCGGGAAAACTGCATCGTCCGGCACATAATCGCGGCGCATTCATCGCGTGTGGCTGTTTTAATCGTTGCTACCAAATGCGCAAAGGCGATGGGCGCCGTGATGAAGTTCTTTTGCCACTAGTTGATTGGCTTCGTCTGACTGTCTAGCGTTGGCCATGGTCGGACATAAAGTGAAACGAAGTAGGATGCATCGTAATAGTTACCTGGAGGAGTCTATGGTGAAGTCTCCCTTTGCGTTCCCTTCGACGATCGAATAGGTGACCTCATCCCCCTCCGGATCTTGGGCCTTTGGTTAAAGCGAAAACGAGAAGAAAAGAAGATTGGGGCCATGCTAATATCAATTTGTTTTTATGTGCATCCTTTAAATTGCGGGCCTAAGGTCAATTGCAGCCGTAAAGTTAAATGTAGTCCAAGTAGTTAAACATTTAAAAACCTCTTTTAGAACGTCCAGTTGTATCTATGCGCAGCGCGCAAGTTGTTCTGTTCCTTGCACAGGGGTTGCGATTATGTCAAAACGTCAAGCTGAAAAAAAAATAGTGGGTAGACTCTGAGGCATTTAGCATTGAGGTCTACCTACTATCCTTTCAATCAAAGTCCAATCAGAGCTCTGCGTCCTTCTGACGTCACCGTAACTCTTGCGCAAAAAGCAGACCACTTGCTCTCCGCAATGCGTCTATTTCTTCAATGATGACAGATTTATATATATTGTCCAGAAATAACACCAATAGAGCACAATGAAGTTTCTCTTTTTTGTTTACTTCTACTACATATAAAAAATATATACCTAATAAGAAAGAAAGAAATTTCGTTCCTGTGGTTTGCCCTAACCTGTTATTCTGCGACATAAGCAATGCTGCATATGGAGGGCGGCTGGAGGGACCAGAACTTAGAGCGTATTTTTTAATCCCCTATTACTCTTGCTGTAAATACGTCCTTGAATATTTTCGTTTCTAAGTATGCGTGTACAAATATTGTGCTTCCTTTGTCTTCTATCACAGTGTAAGATACAGTCTTTAGGTGAGGACACGGCGGCGTTGATGGCGCGGCGCGAGGAATCACATAGCGTTCGCTTGACTAGCATCCGAAAGGCTGCATCATTCCGCGGCCACCGTGCCCGTAAAGCCCATTCATGTTTCAAAAGTAGCGCAAGGTGCGTCGGTGCACGAGGCACGTGCAACGTGCCGCACTTGGGAAGATCACGGCGGCACAGCGCAGCAGCTGGATTTCAGACGCCATGAATTTCCCAGAATTGGCGCGCGGCACGTGCCTCGAGCATGTCTACAACAATGGATGGCGCCACTTTTCCCAGGATAGAAGGGCTTTACGTGCCCGCGGCTGACAGTGTCGCCGGCGGCCAAACGGCGAAACTGTGTGAGAGCGAAAAAAATTATCTCGTTGCAATGACACCCCGGTACATCGTGGTCTTTCTGCACGTGGGACAACCTCGCTGGAGCTCTGCGCGTGTGGAGCATGAGGCGGCACGAGCCGTCTTTTGCCGTGCCCACGGGTCGACGAGTCATCTGTCGGCGCCGCTTGAAACCATAGTGAGAGAGAGAAAGAGAGAGAGTGAAAAGCGAACTCTATCTGCACTGCGCTAAGAGCGCGCTGTCCTCACCTGAAGAGTATTATCTTACACCGTGGTCTTCTATGTAGCCACACTCCTACACCAGTCTTAGTTAGCTTTTAGTTTTCTCTCATCTTATTTTTTTATTTGCTCTCTTCATCACTTTCGCAGGCCTACGATATTTTAAACGCCTAAAAATATTGATTTTCTTAATTTTCAATTAGAATATTTTGTTATTAGCAACCTTCACGTTGCAGTCGCCTACGTGGGTACGTGCTTGCGTGCTCACATCTATTTCCCTTTAAATATCCTGGCAGGACCCCGCGTCCTCATCGGCTAAGATATTGTTATTTTAACATAAAATGTGTTTTATCGAGCAAATTTATAGACAAATCATCATCAAGAAGCGTGACAGGGAAACGCCAGAGAGAATTGTCAGAAAAAAACCGTGGCGAATGATCATAACATCACATGATTCGGTGACGTTACACAGTCACATGGCATCAGAATGTCATAGGATGGCATGGGGACACATTACATCATGACGTCACGTAGCAGCACGACGTCACGTGACATCTTTTGGTCACGTGATTTTGTGACGCTATATGACGTCATAATATTATGGGACACGGCGACGCCCCGCGACATATGATGTCATGTGACATCATCATGTGACTTTATGACGTCGCGTGGCTTCACACACACACACGCTCAGCATCTGTCCAGCTCTCGTTCACAACACATTTTGTGCTCCCCGGGACTTTGCCAGCATGATCGAGCTCATGTAAACGTTTCATGTGTGTCAAATACTAGATTACATGCGCATATGATCACCCAACGAGCAATGTTACCTTGAGCGTGGCCACTGCCGATCCCACGGAAGCTCCTTCGCTCACTTGCACCTCGTAGGTGTCCTTGGAGAAAACGGGACCTCCAGTGTTGGGCCCCGGAATGACAATCACGTCCAGGATTCCCTGACTGAACCTGCAAGTGTGGAATTTGAACAATAGGCTCCATTATAATAAACCCTTTTCACTAATCCGCGTCATCTAAGTAGCTGTGCTATTCAATTCGAACCACTGTCCACCCATCCCATGACCAGTGATCCGAGACGCGGGATCCGATACGTGCATCGAAGCGAAATACCGCACAATTTCTGAGGGGCTCGTGATTGTATCTGGCAGTTCGTAGCATTTGCCTTTAGTCCATCGTAGGGTGAGACGAACTATAGCGACCGACGCTTGTCTAGTGCAGCCGTCGGAAAATTACTCAAATTTATACTTCAATCAAAATTCACGTTCAAATCTACACTTCGACCTTGATCGGAGTGTATATAACCCATATCTCAATGGCTAAAGCCCTCAAGCTCGAGCCTCATAGTAAAGGGGTGTCCCACGCATCGAGCTTCACCGATTTCGCACCGTCAAACACTGAGAATTCTATTGCCCATCGCACAATGTCGCCACAATCTAGAAGAAGCGGGCGTCTTCTTCGGTTAGAGTTTCATTCCGCGCCATCTAGTCAGTTTCAGCATTTTTAGTATTTTTCGTCTCCTCGACTGCTTTGATTGCACATCGGCGGCCTAATCCATTTGTGAGGGCCCCACACAAGCTTCTAAAGGCAGTTCTTTATGAAGCGAGTATGTCGAAAGAAAGGGACGAATTTTGCCAGGCTATTTTCGCTCTGCGCGCGGCGTCCAAACACTGGCTGCTGCACCGCGCGCAAAGCGAACGTTCAGCTTGGCGAAGTTAGTTCGTTGTCCGCCGTATATCCTATTTTTTCCTTGGATACCGACTTCAATTGGCCGTGCAAAATTACTGGGGAGGAATGTTTCTCACTTTACAGAAGCTTACTGGCACCAGTGGGACCCAACTATACTCGCACACAACGCTACTCAGCAAAAGGCTTCTTCGTCGTTGCGTGAATTCAAGGGTAATTCAGGGGTTTCTCCTTCGCAACACGTGATGACGAAGTTGTGGCGATCGTATGGTTGACGTTGGCAACAACACGATCCCCAGGATTTCGTCATCTAAGCTCGCAATCCTCGCGGTGACAATATTTAAATGCGGCTCATACAGCGGGCACCAGCACTGCGTTGGCATTCGATTTGGGCTCGTGACAATCAATGCTCGAGATGCATTCGGGCAATGGCTCGCGCTGAGTCGCTGAAATGAGGGGAACTGGGCAGGAAATCGAACGATAGGAGGCGCTTTATTGTACTTGTTGTCCCCGGAGCCTGGTGTTTACTAGAGCCACTCGATATGGCAGCGTAGCTGCTAGAGTAGCGCCACGCTTTTCCCTGTGCCGCCTCTCACCGCGATTGGTCACACGCGGTATCATAGCAACGTGCTGAGCTGGCTCGGTTTCCGTAGCAACCGAGTGACGACTCGTCACGTGACCTCTCAAGAGCCGTGATGTCATCGGTAAGATGGCAGCGCCCAGAGCTGGTGGATGCGAGTTTGTTCGGTGCGCGGAGTCGTGATGTGCCGCAGCTTGCCGACGATTTAGGGCTTCTTCGTGCTTTCTGACGTAGGTATAACGTGGAGATCTGAAAGAATGATACTTTATACCCTTTCTGTGCAAGATCGCTCTGGATATTAGCACCTGTGCGACAGCATCAGTAATAGCGCCTTAGCGGTGCTTGGGTTTCCGGATGTGTTTGAGGATCGATAAGACATTTAGCATGCAATTTTCGCATACTCCTAGCCTTTTTTGAACGTTGGAGTGTCTGAGAGTCGATGCGAAATCTATGCGTCGCATGTTGGGCCTTGGGGAATTTGTTTTTGCCCCAGGTAACCGCATGATCACAAACTTTTAGCGAGGAAGCTCCTGCGATGTTTACGTTTTGTACTAATCAATCAGGTAACCTGGGTTCAATAACCACCCCTGCCCGTTTCGATCTGGATGAGCATCGTACCGGCCTGCGGTTGTGTACCACTACTGCGTGGTGCATGTTAAAGACCTATAGACCCCAGGCTAGCGGTTATACTGCATTGGCTAAATTGCTCATCTACAGCGAGTGACTCGTCGCAACTTTGAAATGGCTGACCAACCTACACGCTGTATAAATATTCACAAAACTCCCAAGTATACTAATCAACGATTTTACGATATGCGCAGTGCAAGTTCGTCTGCTTCTTTTAGTAGGGGTTGTGGTGACGTCAGAACGCCGAGCTTTGATTGGTTCTGAATAAAGAATAGTGGGTAGGCCCCAAGGCAGCTTGCTTTAGGTCTACCCACTATCCTTCAATCGGAGCCACTCAGATCTCGGCGTTCTGACGTCACCGCAACCCCTGCAAAAAGAAGCAGACGAACTTGCGCTCCACATAGCTTTTAGGATAACATTTTCGCATTTTTCTAGCTTCCTTTGAAAGTCTGAATTTCTGAGAATCATAACGAAAGGTATACGGCGCGTGTAGGGCCTAGGGGAAATTGTTTCAGCCCTGGGTCATCGAATAACCACAGCATTTTTTAGCGAGGAAGCTCCTGCGATCTTTAACCTTTTTTATATAACTTGCTTTCGTTGCAATAGCTTGCATTTGATCGCACTGTTTTCTGGTTTGTTTTTCAAGTGAAAAACTGGCGTTTGCTCAAGTGACGTATATGAAATGTCCTGCTATATAACAATGCATCAACGCATGGTATTAAACTTAGATGCTCAGAGGTGTGGTCGTCTATGTAATTAACATGTTACAGACGTGTTTATTTCTTACGAGTGTAATATTTATTTTCTGTAGCTTGGCCCATTTTGTGCTCCTTAATGTCAGCGTGCTTGGTTCCAAATATCCTCTTTACAATGCCTACAAAGGCCAAAATGACGTCAGCCGACCCCAACTCACGCATTAAACACGAGAACTGCGTCGCTCGGATGTATGCGCTCGTCAGCAATCAATTCGTACATAAATATTTTAATTCGCTTTCCTGGCCAATGAGTGTCCTGACAAAACATATTATCACTTGCGAATGCCATGTTCTACGGTGTGCTTTAAAAGCACGGTGAAAGCTTGGGGTCATGGCACCGGTGCCCTATCATGTCACGACTGCGTGATTTCACAGTTCTCTTTTGAGTTGAGGATTACAGGTAAGGAAGAAGAAGTTTAAAAATAATTTCGTGGCCCCTTTAACACGGATATGTGTGCTACACCAGATAGAAATATTGACTTTTGAATGCCGGTAAACTTCCGAACGACCATTTGGCCTGTCGGCAAGAAGACCTCATATCCGGCGTTCGTCTCTTTTGATGGCGTCAACGATTCCCTAGAGACCACCATGCCGTACTTCTTGGTTGAACCCCGTCGACGTCGCTCCTCACCAGTCGGTGAGAAAATCTCATCTTGAAGGGATGATCGGGTCTTGAAGAAGTATGATGCTAAACATATACTCGCTCACTATGGGGCAGTCGAGCAGCAGTCATGTCCCGAGCCAATCGTCCTGTCGTGGCCGGCGTAATCGGATTTTGTTTCATCAGAGCGAAGTCCGAAAGTACTAGGACGGTACGTTCGTCCCACGAAGCGGCCACCATCCCGGCGGTGCCGAAAACCACTCGTCTTGTCCGTGCACACACGATTACAGCAGCTCCCTCGTCGCCCGACTGTCCCCGGGCTGCAAATCGTCTTACTTTTCAGAAAAAACAGGCACCATTCCTCCAGAGGTTCTTGCCGTGCCGCGATGCCAAGCGTCTTATACCAATTTTCAATGAACGAATGGAGATATCAACTAGACTACAAAGGTTGCCACCCGGCGTCGCTAGAAGCACGGTTACCATGGCAACCTCCCAGGCCCAAAATGGAGATCACTATCAGCGCTTCTGACGTCGTGCATCTAGATAATTTTGCGTCGTGTCGCTACTCTGGCAGCTACGCTGCCATATAGAGTGGCTCTAGTGTTTACTAGCACGGAATAACGAAGAAATTGAACCTCGCCTATCACAGTCTGGGAATGAGCGCTTCGCTCTGACCAGTGCTTTGGACGCACGAGGAGCGGCCTTCGAATCGTCATCTTCGATTTCTCTAGTCAAAAACAAACAAGAATATTCAGTTTGTTGGCCCCGAAGCTAAAGAGTACCGCCAGAGACATGACTGTTCCATACCTTACCCAATAGCCGAATACTATATGGAACTCTGCGCGTTCCCTGTGCATTGCAAACCCCAGCTGGTGAATGGGAAAACATTGGCGGCATATAGCCATCTCCAAGTAACGTGACCTCTTGTTCTGGCTTCGAGTTGAGAGGGTGAATACAGCTCGTTTTCCTCGAATTATTTCTGCAACATCCATTGCGCGGAGAGAAAAAAAACGCGTACTTCACGGGTTATGAATGTCATGGAATAATTCTAGGCGGTAGTTACTGCAAGTACGAAAACTGTTGAATCGCTCATTTAAGGAGAAAAAAATGCATCGTAAGCACGCGCAATCTCGCGCATAATTTTCAAAATAAACAAAATATATTTACTTTTAAGATATTTTTGAGAAAGTAAAATATATATTTATCAATCGGCATACAACATCACTATACGTACCTTGCACCGGTGTCAGTGGCCTGTACTGTGATGCTGTACTGATCCCCGGACACGACTTTGGAGATAACTTGTACTAGACCCGTGTCCCGGTCGATGCGGAACTTGTCCCTACCGTTGTTGGACACATGATAGACAGAGTAGCTCACGCGCGCAAACTCTCCTTCGTCGTCGTCCCTGGCTTGCACCTGGAACAGCCACGGCCACCACGGCGATACTTCCATCAGAATATTTATAGTCACCTCCTACCCCCTCAGAAGAAATTGTATGTGAACAAAGTCGTTTCTCTATGTAAGAGCCTCGCCCTCTTTTGAAGGATCTAGCAGTTTAACCTCTTTGTCTGGAAAGTCTGGCTACCGGGGTGCAGCTGTAGAATGCATTACCCCTCATTGTGTGCCATAACGATCCACAATGTGCTTCCTCGAAAGCTAGTAAATTTCGTGGGACATACGTCCATACCACCAGTCAATCTCACTTAGGTAAGGGACATATATAAAAATGTTAATTTTATGTATATTTTTACTTACCAAATAAACAACCGTCAACAAAACTAGCATTGTAAGATGGGAGTCAGGAATTCAAAAATTATCCCCTCTTACGGTTGATCTGAAAATATTCCAAAGTGGCGTCCGCAAAAGATACCATAAAAAAGCAGGTCTATTAATTATATACAGTCTTTTTAATTGAGCATTATATTAGTTGTAGACTTGCCAGCATGTTGTTGCTTTTTGGCGCACGCAACTTTGTAGTATTTTCAGATTGATTTTAAGAGGGCTAATTTCTTGAAGGGGTCTGTAGTGCTGAGCTTTGGAAACTGAGAATTAGGCCTTGCCAGCGAAAATGACTCTACTTAAATGATTTGTCACTAGTAGCGTTCATTTTTAAATATTGACTCTACTGTCATCATCCCTGTTTGGAAAATGTTCAACTTTAGAAACTCTACGGACATATCCAACACCGAGCATGTGGCACGCTTCACGAAAGAAGGGGGATAATGTGGATGCTTGAACTAGTTGGTAATTCATGCTTGGATGGAACAGCGTGACTGTGTGGATACACAGTCACACTCACAGGCACAAAAGAAGCGCTGCGAGTCTGTTTTCGTCTTGTGTGCCTGAGAGTGAGACTGTATATCCGCACTGTTCCATCCAAGCATGAAAAAAGAAGAGGGGCATATTTAGAGATCATTGTGACGCTCAAGTGCAACATGCCTAGTTGGCAAGCAAAAATGTATGAAAAATTGTAGGAAATTGGGTTGGCATACGTCGAACGTTCTAGCATTACAAGTGTTTAGCGATACTATGAGTTTCCAGACGCCAGACCCCTTCGTTCACGTCGCTTTTCATCAGATAGTTTCACGCGTACCATGCATACACTCGATAGTTGTTCCTAGAGTGAAGTGATACTACCACTAATCAGGCTGATAAACCTGGTGATCTTTCAGAGCCTTCCATACTCTCAAGCTCCTCTCTTTTAGTGCTCACCGGTGGTCGGGCGCCTACTCGCCTAGCCCTCTGGTCATATGACCTCCGCGTTAACCAATCACCGTAGAGCAGCTCACTCCTCCTCTTCATTCATCAACCAATCAGTGTTGAGCCTCGTGGCCACGCTTTTATCCAGGCTTCACTTTTGGGCTTCACAAAATGCCGAACACCTATCCAAAGAACCTTTCACTTTAAAATAATATTCTTAAAAGAGAAACCTTGTTCAGCCATAGTTACTCAAGCGATCGAGTGTAGACCATTCCAATAATTGTAATTTGTAAGATGCCATCTCTTTCTACTTGATTGTGGCACTCCCTCTGAGCATGTGTCATGCCTTAGCTCTCTTCTGCGAAATATAAGAAGCGTACCGAGCCAAGTAACCCGGCATTTCTCGTCCAAGTATTGAGCGCTGGAAAGTCACATAGACCACTCCAATAATCGCGGTCTGTGCGCTGTCATCTTTGTTTACTGGGCTGTGAAACGCGTCCTGGACATGCGCACTAGACCTTTTCTGAAAAATATCTGCCGCGCGCATGCCTCTGCAACCCACTGAATCGGCGTTTTTCGCGTGGACGATAAGCGTTCGAATGGTGTGTAGTATAGGATTTCTGGCAGCACGCAAGGTTCTGCGGACGTCTGAAAGATATCCTAGCATTCCATGGACGTCCTACGGAAGTGTACGGGACACTGTGCCACTTAAGATAGTATGAGAGATGGAACACGGTAGGCTAACCTACCTGCGTGACGTTCCGTACACCGTCTCCAGCCTGGATGGTGACGGGACTCAGCGTAGGCAGCTTGGGACTGTTGTCGTTTACGTCGTTCAGTCGCACACTCAGCGAGATCGGGGCGCTGCTGCCCTTGCCGGGGGCACTGTTCAACTGGTGGGCCACCACCTGTGCAAAAGGGAGGTTTAGTGATTAGTAGAGTCGTCAGGTGATCTTCACCGTCAAGTTTGAAGTGGGGGTTCACTGTCGGAGAAAAGCAAGGCGGCCACCATAGCATAACAGTGACCTTAAGCATGACTAGAACAGGAAGGCACCTGGTGGCTAAACCCGTCAGCCTTTGGTGTCTTCAAAACATTTAAAGGCCACATACGTGTTTGTCAACAAAATGAGTCACATTTATTCGCCTTGGAGAGAAGATAAGACTAGAACGTGTTTTATAACAGAAATTGACCGATAGAAAACAAAGCAATAATCAACCTTCCGCGAGGGCGAGTTGGTTTGGGCTTCAGCGCTTTACTGGAAAATAGACAGTCGTTGGACTAAAATCTGTTACTAAAATTAAAATTACACACCCTCAAAAATTACATTACATAAACGACTCGCCAATTTAATCAAATCATTGGCAATCGTTTAATCAGTTTGTCTAGAGAAGAGGCCAGAAATAACTGTGAAACCACAGTCAAATAACTTAGTCCAACTAGGGGAAGTTACGTACAACGCTCTTTGCCAGCATAAACAAATTTATTTTTGAAGACCTCAGACAAACACGTTATGTTTTTGCGACTGAACTTCAGAAGAAAAAAATCTTCAAGGAGCCTGCAAAATGAATTCGTAGTTAATTTGAATTCACGGAACGCGGCCTTATTAGAAAAAGACGCCAACCCTCATCTCCACTTCGATTTTCTTACCACAGGAACGCGATTATCCTCTCTCTCATTATCATTACTAGAAAAGATAACTTATGTCACAATTTTTTTTATCTTGGGGCAGTACATACTGGGAATTTTTATTTACGCAAAGTATTGCACTAGGGAAGTGTTCCTTATCATTTCATCTTGTGTTAAAACCTTCTCGGTGGTTTTAAACGCGCCTTTGATTTTTAATACAAAGCGCCCGCCCAATCAGTTTTATCTTAGATATGTTAAATATATCGTTTATTAAGTAGAGTTAAAAGCAGAGCCGAAATCGCCTTTCTTCTTATGGCTTAAATGCGGGCAAAAATACGAACCGGAAGTCTAACGAAGTTCGGAAGCTGAAAAAAGGTGTTCCGCATTTTTTTTTTCTCTTCTAAATTAGAACCCGTTAGATTCCTTCACTTTTCAAAAATATCATAAATCCTTTTTTTATTATTTTTTTCAATCTTTTTTCGATTTGCGGCTATTTTTTTTTTTCAGATCTTTTTGAGCATTTCTGATTCTTTGTAACTGAGTACAGGTAACGACGAAGAAATCGTTGCAGTGCCATGGTCTCTTTGTAGAGGAAAACCCAAATACATCTCCGATCTCACCTGGAAGGTGTAAACGCTCTGGTTGGGCGGGTCTCGATCGAGGTCGGGCTCGTTGACGACCAGCACACCCTCGGCGTTCACTCGGAACGCCGTCGTGGTCAGTTCGAAGCTGTACTCGGGAAAGGGATCGTCTTCTCCCTGAAACGACCAGGCGAATTGTGTAATGTCAACGGGAAATGTCAAAGCGTATTCATCGCTATTGATCCTTTTTAGACGCCTTTAGAAAGAATTTAAGAAACGCAGGTCGCGGCTTGTTATGCCCACCCTCTTGCTTCGCGATTCCTTGTCTGGTGTCCTTCTGGGCTAATGCGGTAACCTTATTGACTGCTGGAGGATAATAAGATTGTCACAAATCGCTACACCGAGCGTTTCTTAAGTTATCATAATATTCATAATCATATTAGTCTTTCTTTGTTTCATGTTGTCAGAAAACAATTGACACAATTTGACGTCAATGACTACAGACCAATTCACGGCAAGAAACAGAAGCACCTTTTTGAGGGGCAATGACAACTCGGTCTTTGTGCAGCCTAGTGGTTTTATGGCAATATTATGCTATTAGTATATTATATTATTTATTTTTTATTTTATTTATTACAGAAACAACCTGCAGTACCGAACATTATAGCAGATACGATAGAACAATCTTTTTTGTAACTGGTTTTGTGTGAATGAACAGGTAACAAATAAGTAAAGGGTGTTTATCAAACACAAAATCAAGTTATAAAAAATGCAGGCAAGATAGACATTTAAAATCGCTTCCTAAAACAAGCCATCTCGTGTTAATACTTATAATGACAGACTCAGGCGATGCATCACAATATCTTAAAGCGATAGAGAGAGAATAATGTCATCAAATGACTAGCCAGAGCCAAGATCTCAGGTGACTTTCTGCGCGAAATCATGGCTCCGGCCAGTTCTTTGAGACCACGTTAAGTTCGTTTAAACTCCAAAGCTCTGAGAGTAGTATTTAGCCTAATTTTATAAGGCTTTCTTTCGGTAATTGCATTTTGTTTTTCTGTAATACCATGCCACCGCAGTCTGAGACTGCCACTGGGTGAGCTGTCTCGATTTTTTTTTATGACACACAGGTAGGAAACAGATGTCTTAAAAAACGGTCTAAATGCCGGATGGAAATCAAATTAGATGAAAATCGTACCACGCGCAACTTTTAGCACACCAATCTTAGGAACCAAGCCACATGGGGATTTTCACCGCATGAAAATCGAAACAATGATTTTGGTTCCAATGGTATTGGAATTCCCATGCATTGTCTTTTTCTTTGTGTGGTGCCTTTTTTTTTTTTACTTCGCGCATTGATTTTTTATTGTTTTTATCTTGCGTTCCAGGTGTGGGTTTCATTTTTTTTATTTTACCATGTTTTGAAAAGTGTAAGACTGCAGTGTGAAACCACAGTCTGAAACTGCAATCTCACGCTGCAGACTAACGCTTCCTTTGCAGTGTGGGAGTGCAGCAGCTTTTATTTAAAAGAACTCAGAAGAACGCAACATTGCTTTAAAAAACGGACTTTGTCAAAGCACAATTTATAACACGAAAATTTGCACTTCCGGGGTGAGCAGTTCGTAAATCGTTAAACGAAAAATCCAGTAAATAATATTTGTGGCTCTGCTTTATAACGCCAAATCTAACAAAAATAAAACGAGTGCGTTTAAGCATCTGTAAAAAGTTTGTTCCCAACGCTGAAAGAACAAAGTGAAAAATTGAGGTATCAAGGATTTCCGTAGGTATACCGGTTTACTAACCCGGTTTGGCCTATGGATAGTACCAAATCCAAAGTCACTGATATAATACAGAACTTGCGGCATGAGTACACACACTCTAAACTAGCCTTTCTATAATGGGTGTGGGAAGAAATACCAGAAACGCCTGCTCGTACTCAGCATTATCGTTATTATATTTAGGGTTACGATTAGTCGGTAAAAACACCGATAAACCCCGTAAATTCACCCCCCGAGTCGTTTTTTTTTTTTTTTTTTTTTAATCTAAACCGAGAAAACCAAGAAGTAAAAAAAAACAAAAAACAAATTGTAGCTGTGTTTGACTTAAAAACGTCGAAGCTTCACATGGCAAAAATCTGTATTTGAAGTTTTGTTTTGCATGAATCCACAACAGAGCCCACACAAAACTGTTCGCGAGGCTGCCTCTTTCCACACCCCTTATGAAGTTTCCTTCTATACAACACAGGGACGGCTTTTTTTTTTTTTTTTTTCAGGTAATTTAGACACATTTATGTGCTTTCGAGATTGGGGAATCCCATTCTCGTGTCCTATTTTCTTTACCGTCCCGATAAACGCCGATTTCTTTTTGTCTCACAACGAAAATTGACACAGAAAAACTATCTTTACAAAAAAAAAAAAAAAAATATATATATATATATATATATATATATATATATATATATATATATATATATATATATATATATATATATATCCCAATTCGAAGAGGGTTAAACCCCAACTATTTCTCATCGATAGTTTTTTTATAACTTGCAGCACGTGGTTTATATTTGCTGGATTTTGCTTGAATTAATCAATAAAACATGTGTTTCTTTTTTCAGAAGGTTTTAGGAGTGTTCACTCACGAGGTCCTCGTCGCTGACCATGAAATAGAGGGGGTCGTCCCCGTAGGGCTGAGTGACCACGTAGGTGCCGACGGGAGAGTTCTCGTCGACGAACCCTTCCGTGGCAGAGGCCACCACGACCGGAGGGTTGTTGTCCACCACCTTCACGCCGATATGGAGCTTGGCTGTGGCGAACCTCCGCTGCTCGCTCGTTTCTTCTGCCTGGAGTTTAACATAGATTTCAGGGGGCGGAACAGAAACGGCTGATGTTGCTTATTTAGCGTTAATGGCTAAGTATGTAGTCATTAGGCCCCGAAGAATATTTTTCAAAAGCACTGTCTAATCAATATGTCTACGCTTTCCCGTTCATACGTAGGCCACTTAAATTGTAAATGTTTCGGGTTTAACACAATTCAAGGCTAATATTGTTGATAATTGATATCTATTCAGTCACGCTGTCACTGAGGTTCGTACTAAAACTATATAAAACCAATACTTCTATGTTTTCTCGTTTATTTACTAATTAAAAGGTATTTGTTTAAGTATCAACAAAATTAAACTCCTGATTTTATTGGTTTGTGACAATGTTTAGTCATCTAGTTAAACTGTCTTGAACCGTCGTATTAATACTCTATCTAATAATTTGTTGGTCGAATGCTTTCTCGTTTTCACAAACGCTTGAATTTGAATGTTTTTAGGTCCCACTCAATTAAACGGTAATGATCAGCGACACTATTTAACTATCCAGCCATGCTGTACTAGGGGATCGCACAAAAAATATAGATGTAATAAATATATCTAACGCTTTCTCTCCTATGCACCACTCATAATTGAATACATATTCAATCAGACTCATATTTATTTTAAAAAAGTGACTTCTTAAAGTAATATATATTTTCTTTTTCAATCTAACTCTCAAGGACTGTAGGCATACCGAGCAAATTATGGCAAAAATGTATTGTATGTCATATAATAATTGCCTGCATTATTATGGCCATTACTCGTGCTTCGTGTAATTAACATTGATTTGCTAACTTAGTCTTTCCGGTAATACAGTAGAATGATAAGAAAAAGAAGACGAAGAATATTGTTGCTTTTGTAGGCCCAAAACTAACTACGCGGGTCTTCGCATTGGCGCACACAAAAAGATAAGAAAAAAGCACCACAGACGTACAGCATCAAATGTACAAATTAACAGGCAACAAATAGAACTAAAAACCTGTATGGTTATTTTTTATCTTACTCTCTTGTTTTTGTTTATATATATTACAGCTTCTTCAGGGTTTATGGAATACCTTGACGAGGATATCGAAATATTTCGTAAGTAATCGGTCGACAGGCTTGAGTTGTCGCACAAGGCCACTGTCGGCATCGATGTCGAAGTGCTCTTGGTAGAAAGACGGAGTACCTGCAGCACATCAGAAAACGTTTAGAAATAGCCTTCGTAGAAAGTTCTCATGCCATCTTCGTATGACCTTAAAGTTCCGGGAATGTTTCCCAAGGCACACATAAAACGGCAAAAACTAAAGTTGCAGAAAAAATGCTTCTTAGTTTTGTAAGTTACTTGTATTATCGTACTGTATTCTCGTATTGGGGCGCAAATCGGATTCTAGTTTCAATATTGTCACGTGAACAGAACCCTTTCCATGCTTGCATACTGAACTTTTTGATAAAAGGCAAGAAGTCCTTGCACTTCTACGTATTAAATTACTGCGCTACATCCTTTTACGCACAATACTACATTCCGTTCAAGAACCTCACTTCCTAAGTAGACAAGAAAAAAATTAACAACGCAGATTACGTACCGTTGACGAAGCTGTAGCGTATTTTAGTCTTAAGAGAATCTCTGTCTTCTGCTCGTATTTCCTCCGGGTAAATCTTCAGTACACCCGACTGAAAGAAAAACATATCAGAATCATATATGTGTATGTTAGCATCACTCGTCGCAAAAGAGCGGCATATAAAACTTATGGTTGCTTTATCTCTCCCCAGCTTATGTCACTTTTCGAAACATAATGTGACGCTGTTACGAAATCTTTTTTTCCCTTAATATTGATACTCTCATCTCCATTAGTTCTGAGCTATCACACTGTTTGCGGACCACAAAAGTGGCCAATACACTACTCCAAAACAAGAACTGTAACTCCCATCATAACCGTTTGACGGTCGTCGCCGTACATATATTGTGTTGATTACACATTTGGAAGTTCCAGCTTAAACGGGAAACCGCGTACACCGTGGAAGGTGTTGTGTATAATGCCTCTGACGAACTGTAGATGTTAAATTCGCATGGCGTTTCGCTTTACTGGGGTTATTTATGGTTCTGAAATTAGACGCCCCGCGAACCTGATGCGCGAGTGACGGTAGCTTCGCATGTCGGCTGTTCTGACTGTAGTGGCAGTTGAAGCACCAGCTCTTCCGATTCAAATTTTTAACGCTTCTCCGGTTCGGAATTTGAAGCCGCCCGAATATTTCAGAAGCTGACACGCCAAAACGAAACTGGATGGAAGAAAGGTGAGAACCCTTCATATTCAATATTTCCAGTTGACATCTCTAAATTTGAACAGCATGCAAGCACTGCATGTGCTCCCTCTAAATAATAAAACAAATCTTGTGCATTGACCCTTTATTGCTACTATTTCTTTGAAAACAAAACCCCCAATCACGGAACACAAAAACAAAAAAACTCAACCGTCACTAGGTTAATGTCAATTAAACTAATTTTTACGGAAACTGGTGGCGTGTTTTACTCATTCTCAAATATTCTAGGAAAGGGTGGGTATTTAATCTTCAGAACAAGAAAACCGGGCACTGCACTACACTACACGTCAGGCTTTGAAATTTCGCTTGTGAATACCGCCAGTCAAACGCACTTTCACTCATAAAAAAAGCCTGCACCGTCTATTTTACTGCATAGCACCAACACTAACCTGACACTGAGCGCCCCTCGACGCATTATTGTGTGGACATGCGGCCCAGTCAAACGCAAACCACGCAATCGTGTGCAATCTGTGTTAGCTCGCGATATCAGTGTGATGACATAAAAAAATTCTAGTAGGCAGGCTTTGGTTGCTGTAGACTGCCTCTAAAGTCTCTATACAAGAGCTTCCTACAAGCAGCGACACTCTTTGAAGCGCTGACTGCGTGACGGCGCAGGTTTTAGGAAACGAATGGCGGCACACAGCAGAGGTTTTAACTGAATTCCGCCATTTTGTTCCAGTGGAATGTGCTTTGTCATTTGTATTGGTTGTCGTTACTTGTAAAAAAAGTATCAAGGGACTTTAATTGTGTCAATAGCACTCGGAGAGACAATAAGTGAAACAGCTCGGCGAATGACATGACGGAAAATATACTCAGACCTCAAAAAGAAGTCGGGGATGTGCCACTATAACATGGCGTGTCACATTCTCAGATCATGTCCCGTGTCAGAGCACAGACTTCGTTACTTTGGCTTTTTGTGCATCGTCATTCGCCGAGCACTCTTCGTAGATGACTCTTATTGGCTGTCCTGACTGCTTTCTAAAAAAGTAGATGCACGGCCAATTTTTACACTGGTTCAGGTACAGCTCTCTAAGTTCGCGGGAGCATCGGCCCGAGGGTCGGTCAGCGCCGTAGGACAGAGCAATGTGGCGAAATGTGCTCGTGCTTACTGCACGTTCATGTGCGAGCGTTGTTAGGCTGTTCTGCTGACTGCACACAGCCCCTACTCCCCCTCCGTTGGAAAATCTTTCCCAACGGAAGCTGTATGTTGTCAGCATAAGAGCCTCAGACGCCTCTAGCACATGAACGTGCTTTGTAAGGTACAGCCTCCAGAAGTTTTAACAATATCGCGCGAAAGCCGACCTGTCGGTAGGTCAGCGCCTTATCATTGCGTGAAACAGCTGGTCAGCGATGCTAGGTGTGTGCCTTCTGCCACCTGCGCATAGTCTCGCTGACCTGCTGTTTCACGCCGCGATAGGGCACTGATCTACCGGCCGGTCGGCGTTCGCGCGATATTGTTAAATAGCCTAAAAAAATTTTTGTTCGAATTTTTGGGTAACAAGAGTTCGTAGCCTTTCAGTAACCCCGCAACCCCTGCTGAGGACAGAAATCGTCTGACGAGAGCGGAGCCGCAGCGTCGAGCTCACCGTGACGCCGCTGGTGACCTCCGCCCGGTACTCTACGTTAGTGCACACCCTGTGCACCATGGTGCATCCCTCGTGAACGAAGGTGGGCTCTAGGTCGTCCCCGTCCTCAACGTAGATGGTGAGGGTCGTGGTGCTCGACAACCGCTCTGCCGGGTTGGACGCCTTGTCCTGCGGTCGATGAGGACAGAGTGTATGAGCCGCACAGCGGACAATGAGGCCGACCGCCCGTCTAACTGACATTTACGTTAGAAGTAAGGTTCCCTGGATTCGCTAGACAAACACCGTTAATTAATCCCCCAGTCGCTTTTAACGCAATTAATAAAAAGCCGAAAAAAGCCGAACAAAAGCTGTCCTTAAGTAAAAAAAAAAAAAAAAGAACTTAAAAAATTTATTTACGCTGTTTTTTTGCTTTTGCTTTTTACTGTTTTTTGGAACCACGATTATTATCTCTTTCGTTTCTCTTGTCGGTAACGGAACATTTTCGAAGTATTGGGGCACGCGCAAGTTCACTGGAGGCTGAGAAATCGCATTCCCGTCTGCCCTGTATTCTCACTATAATCCCCGAGAAACATCAATTTGCTTTCCAACACCGAAAATTGACAAAAAAAAAATAAACGCAAAAATTGAAATACAATAATCCCCCCCCCTCAAAAAAAAAATTTTTTTTTTTTTTAATTTAAATATATATAAACACAGAAAGCACGAAACACTACTTATCAGGTGTAGGACTTATCGAAGAAATTCATCGAAAAAGAAATGACCGTAAGCTTTGTACACCGGCCGGTATATATATATTCCCAACTAGAAACTTACGATAGGACTTTACCCCACCAATGCTTGTTATTTAGGGCTTGGAATTGGGCTGTTGGTTTATTATTACCTGATTGAACTGCGCTAGTTGTTAAGATTTGAACAATAAACGACTCTGGTACTGAAAAAAAAAAGCAAGACAAAAGCGAAAGCGCGAACAAATATTTTTTTTCCTACGAAACGGAGGACCGTTTAATGCAGTTGTCAGTTTGCCCTCACTTGTGTTTGTCCTGTTTTTTGTTATAGTACCCATATCGTTTAACATAAGCATCTTAGCAGGGCAATTCAATGAAATAATGTTAGTCAGTATTTAAAAAAAATACTGAGGACGTCTTTTCGCGACCATAGTTCAAAGTCTGATGTGGCTCCTTTAGATTTGAGCTTCGTCTGTAAAGATTTGTTGCGAGTGATCCAAGAGTTTAGTGTGCCAACGTTAATGCAACACCGCAAGGAAAAAGTCACAATTTCTGATCGTGTTTACTGTTTACGGTGAATGTTGTAAAAGTGCAGACGCACATAGTAAAGCGCGTCTTTTTTTCCCCCTTTTTTTGCTGTTTATTAAATTCGTGTGCAATCCTCAGCTATAAAATAAGTTTTCTAGGTAAGTTCATACATATTTAACAGTAAAACAGGGGGAATAAATTTAATTGCGAATTAAGCTATAATCAAGATAATGTGAGTCATCGCCAACTTATAACATATAGTCTTACGAATTAAGTACCATCTGAGCAGCGACTTTCTGACAAGATAACTTCATTTTCCGGTCTGTGTGACGAATGAATAAACTCAAGCATGCTTACACTATTGCTCAGCTGAAATTTGATGAGATCCAAATTATAATATCCGTCGGCGCGGCTTTAGTTCGTACGAGCTTTTTCCCTAATTAACAAAATTATACGATAGTGTCTAATAAACCTATGAGAACGTATGGTATCATATAAGAACTTTTATAATCTTCATATGTGGCTTATATAATTTACATAACTTCTGGTATGTGTGTATTGTACAAATTGCATACGAGTTCTTTTTCAATATAAAAAGGACGGCGTTGTAGCGTGTAAACAAGAAAGAAAAGTAATACTTACGGTGGCCTTGATGAGCAGGTGATAGAATTTGGCTTTCTCGTAGTCCAGAGGCCTCGCGATTGTGACTAGTCCCTGATACGGGAGGTCGATTGCAAAATGATCGTAGCCGTCGTGCTGCAAACGAGACATCAAATTGAACTTGCGTTGTAACCCGCTACGAAAAGCAGCATTTTAACAAGAGGCAATTCGTAATAGTGCGTACCGTAATTCAGTAATTTACAATAAGTGGCACTACACACCGAAATGTTTCGCGTGTTCCTGGTGCGTCTTTACGAAGAAAACCAGTGTTTTAACGCCCCTCCGGAGCACTATGGAACAACGCATTATTTGTTCTTAATAGTATATATCCTCCAAACGGGAGGGTTGTACAAAAAAAAGCTGCCATTTCAGCTTGATGAGGCCTCTACCTCCCCTCCCCTTACAATACAGCGCAAAATAGGACATCTGGAAATGCACATATAAAACCAAACATATTAATAAAAAACACACTTGTACCAGATTAAATGCGATTAAAATAATGCTAGTGACGTCTAAGTTTTGTTTTTCATATTTTCAATTTTATGCATAAACGATAACACTAGCCACCAGGAGCATTTTAATATTTCTCATGAAAACCTCAAACACTGAAAGTTTACTTTCAGTGAGACAATAAAACGTCTGGCAAATGGAGGCTTTGTATAAAAAGTCATAGAGACAATCAGTAAATTATTAAGCAACGATTTCTCTTCAGTTACAAGAGTAAACAATTGTGAACGAAGATCATATCAAAATCTGAGTTCTACGCTTATCAGTTACTGCCTGAAGGGACTCTAAAGGTGTCTTAAAACGCGTCGTAGGTATAGGTTTCACCCTGTTTTCTTAATAATACGGGGAACTGTATCTTCGCGATTCATGCTTTGTAATGGCTAATGCCTTAGTCCCATTCGATACTGGGAACACGCACCGCAACACGTCTCTTAAGTGCCGTTTCAGTGACAATATAGACTACAGGGTGTCGAAGACGATGTTATGTCCCGAGTCTCTTGACCCATAAAACGACATATAAAAAAAAATTAATATTAAGTTTTTAATAGCTTTTACTGCAGATGCTGGTAACCTGAAACGAACCTCGAAGTGGTGATAAAAATCAATCAACCCCTCGCCTTGAGCAATTGTCGTAGAGCTATCTAACGGCGCGTTCACATTTGCGGATTCGCGGGCGGATCCGCGCAGGCGAAAAGTGAACTTCGGAGCCGGGTGGCGAAATTCGACACGTCGCCAGCGGAAAACCCGAATATGAAGCCCCGAACTGATCCAGATTTTTCTCCAGTCGATTTTGCCATCCGGCTACAAAAATCCACTCGCCGCATGCGCGGATCCGCCCGCGAATCCGCAAGTGTAAACGCGCCATTGGAAATCTGCTGGGACCATACTTTCTTCGCGAAGCACAGGAACTATGGTCGCAACCTACGGAGGAGGCAGAGCACGGCGAACGACGAGGCATAAATAATCCATAGACCAACTCAACTCTCTGACGTCACGCCACTGCGGTGGCGCTGCTGTCGGCATGCGCATGCGCAGATGCTTCGCCTCAGGCGAATATGATTTCTGCGCGAGCTCAGTGCCCACACCCGGTGTGCGCAAACTTGGGCTTGTTTGGAAACAGCGTGTTAATCTATAGACCTTAAAATTTCAACAAAACAAAACAGTGTGCGCTGTGACATTGAGCATGACGTGTCAGTGTCGCAGCGCAGACTGTTATCTCTTTCTTCTTTTTTAGGTTTAAGCTTCTTTTTTTGTCTTCGTTACTGGCCAAGCTTTCTCGATTGATTCCAGCGATTGGCTGTCCCGAGTGCCCTGCGGGAAAGTAGACGCACTGGACTTCTTACGGTGTGTAGTCGTGGCCAACCTAATGGCACACTGACAGGGTATTTATGCTCGCCGAGGTTTTTAGTTGTAAGCACATATGAGAGCCCAACTAGCCAGAACACAATTTGCGACTCGAAATTCGGTTTCTTTCCTTCCGAAAACCGCCGATCGAGAACTGGCCGGTTGGAGCCGCGTTCACTCTCGTTTCCGTGGTCACGGGTCGTTTTTCAAGGTTTAGGCACAGCAACCTAATTCAATCAAAGTCGTGGGTCATTTAAGGCACACAGTCAGTACTAAATATTAAAAAAAAATATGAAAGCCATTTTTTTGTGGCTCCAAAAATCTGAAAATACGTTGATTGAAAACAAAAAAGGGGGTTGCACAGACAACCGGAAGCATTCTGTGCGTTCACTGCATAATTCTCAACATGGCGTCGTTTCGCGTTTCGCGGGACTCGCGGGTGGAAGCGGACGACGGGCGTGGGACCTCTACTTCAGAACTGTTGCTCACTGTACCGGCGAATTCTGTCTTCCTTTGAAAGAAAAATTTTAAACCGATCAAAAGAATTTATGTTCATCCCGTACGACACGCCCGACCAGAGCCGATTGCACGAAGACGTCACCGAGCCGTCGTTCCTTCTCGTGGCTGAAGACATCGCTCGCTCAAACGTCAAGCACGAAGTGCGTACATCGAGTTGAATACGCACGCGTACGGTTTCTTTACTTGGTGCGAATGTGGCCAATGCGTGGTGCTGCCCGACTTCAAGCCGGGAGTGCATGTACTGAAGGGAAATCGGCAGCAAACTTTCCGACGTACAGTCGATCGGATGCATTACTACTAACGAGTGGGTTCCTTGAGTAGCTCTGTGGGAAGACGTGCGCTTCACACGCAGCGGGCACAGGTTCGCTCTCTAATAAGGGCGTACAATTTTTTTTTTTTCAAATGTCTTGCGATTTTTACATTTCTTTTCTTTTTTTATAATTATCACTGAAAGAAACAATTGTTGTGGACTATACGTCGCTGAACTAAGTGGTATGGGATTCCATTTTTGACACCTGCGAACTCAATGTAGTCACTTTCCACAAAATGCAAGGAGCATATGAATCGGGTAGCGTCCGCTTTCCTAGGTTACCGCAATTGTTCTACAGGAATTGCAGCCAGCCATTGATCCCGACTCGTTGATCTTTCGGAAACTTGTGCATTCTGCCGCACAATATGCCACTTTCAGATGCAGGACATGTGAGGCAGATCTTCATGCAACATCTCGGGGGTATTCTTCTCGGAGCCGATCATGGGAATTCACCACAGGCACTCACTACTAATTGCCAACACTTAAATGTACAAAACAACTCATTTTGAAGTACAGAACAACGAGCGGAACAAACATAATTGCAAGGGAATCGCACGGTGAACGGATCCCGCAACTCATTTCGTCTGCTGCGCACGGAAGAAAAACATAAATCGTACGTTGGGGTGTAGCCACGCGACTTTCGCTATACTCACTCTCTCCTCTCCACTTCTCCGTGCGGTGCGGGGTTTCGGTTTCGGTTTCGAGCAGTTGCGTTTTTTTGGCTTTATTAAAAAAACACGCGACTCTGTAGCAAAATATGAAGTGGGTAGTATTCCGACACCATAATAAATTGTCTAGCAAAAAAATTAAAAAAAAAAATTGGGGGGGTTTCAGTGTCCCTTTAAGTAACGCCAGGGCACGGCTTATTGTGTTCAATTAACAATAATAATATCTTTATTTTCCATTACAATGGTGAAGGCCGAGAAAAAAAGCCGCACGAAACGGCTTGACGAGCTGTCGGCCCCCGAATTGCATTCTACAGCCTACAGTAGTGACAGGGCGAGAGAGAACTAATAAACACACACGCACACCAAAAAAGTATTAGTCTGCTATAACAAAATGTTACATCAACGCACGCAACTCTCTCATGGTGATCGTATATAAGTGAACATCACTGAGAATAAAGTAATTAAGCAGTTTAGGTAATCTGTAAGATAAAATTTCCTTTCCTAGGTTTAATCGGCAAGTCAGGGTTGCGAAATTGATAATTGGGAATGCGTTGGTTTAAGCCAGACAATTCAATTATATAAGTGCGGTTATTGAACAATTCATTTATATACTTTGGAGAAAGCCTATTCGCGACTCCAGCGACCTATAGGGGGCGCCACCACCAAACAAACATGGCGGCTGAGTCCAGGTCGCGTCAGATCGGCCGGGCCGCCTGAATGGGTGGCGCATTCAATTTAACGATTATTCTTTTGTTGAATGCCCAATTTTATGGGTATTTGAACTGAGACAGTTAAGGTTAGCCGGTGCGCATAAACTTGCCGAGCATAGTTTTGTTTTGCCGGTGTTTTTTTGTTCTTTTCATGTCAAACTTTCGCTGCGGAGACTTCGATCAAAACCGAAACTATGGGCTCCGGAGAAACGGTAATAAACTCTAATTAGTTTTGATCATCTAAGGAAAGCGGCGAGGGCTACAAAATTGTTCCACCAAGAGTAATGTTTAGCTAACTCGCATGCCTCGATCATGCGACTTACCTGTCCGCGAAATTAAGCTTTTGTGCCTGTCCGCGTTTCAAGAAACAGCTGCAGTCGTGTGCTCGGTCAAGAACACAGGGTGCAGGAAAATTACGAAAATTAAGCAAGCGCTTCTTGAGCCAAGGAGCATGTCAACTCGCTGGCACTTCACTAAGCAGCTGATACTCGTGTTTCAATTCTGGTTTTAGTGGCAATCGAGAAGTCATTTTGATGAATATGCGGTTATGTATTATATAACGTACTATGGTCCCACTAAAGCGATATTAGTATGTTCTTCGGGTTGAAATATGAACTTAGTTGACTAACTATTAGGGTGAACTGCTGAATAAAAGTATAGTTGACAGACAGAGAGATACTACTTAAACTTAGCCAAATGGTTCTAGCCGGTAGAACGGGACGAATGCGGACAAGCTGAGGAGAGTCTTCATCGGAGATTCACTCAGACCTCTCTGCATTGAACTTGACTTCGAATCCTGAACAAATAAAATTATTATTCTATTTTTTTTTTTTGACCGTTCAACTTGAGCAATGTAGACGTATATTGCTGCTGGATTCGACAGGGGTTATAAGTATTGGAGGCGCGATAGATCCTAATGACGTGACAGCTTATATAAGATATATCGCAAAGATATATCGCAAAGATATATCTTTGCGAGACGCGTCCCCCACCTTTTGAAAGCAGATAATTTCCCTCATCAATCATATGCAGCGAGCAGGTTTTCTGAATCAAGTAATTGCGAAATTAGCCCAACTCCTTCAATGTGGTCTTTTTCTGCGAAAAGCCGCCAAGATGAATAGCCAACGCACCGGCCGGCGTTAGTGGCTCAAATTAACCTGAAGCTAATCCAGCACAACCAAACTCAAGGAACGCAGCTATCACCTTCCCATTCACTTGACTGCAACATTGGTGTCCCCTCCAGTAAAATACTTCGTCTGTCGACCTCAGTCTACTGTTCTACATCCTTATAAAGAAACCGCTTATCAGTTACCAAGCAGTCGTCAATTTGATTGTGATTAGAGACAGACGAGAAATCAAAACGTTTTTCCGTGATTCCTCCAAATCCAAAAAATTGAAAGCACGGGATCGTGTGTTGTGGAATAAACGGGCTTTCACACACGTGATGGAAAGAAAAAATCTACTGAGGCTTCACCACACTAATGAACACTCAGGCAAACTTAAGAAATTTTCGGACCTTCGTCAAATTACATTGCTCGCCGCCGCGCCGACAGCACGCGTCCGCGAAAGCCATCAGAGACGCGGCGGGGCGCGGAGCGACCTGGACCGGCTGGTTCCCGGTTTTCCCGCTTGGCGGCGTCCGTTTTGCTGGAGTCGCGAATAGTTATACATGTTGTAGATACTTAATATGTTATACATTCTGAACAGGTTTTCTGTATGCGAGCAGAACGGCACATTAGCAATTGTACGTAACATTCGTTTTTGGAGTAAGTGTATTATCTTAAGGTTTGTTGTCGTGGTAGTACCTCAAACCAAGTGGCAGCAATTTGAATGAGAAAGAAATATTTTTATGGTAATGATTTAACTGAGCTCGGAAATATATATCGATTCCGATATACCAGACCTAAAACGTTTGCTAATTTATTTTAAAGTACTCAATATGATGGTCCCATGACATGTTTTGTGAGAGCACTAGTATGCTCCGTTCACCCCACCGTGGTTCACCCTTAAGCTGAGACTGTATCTAACGCTACAAGTACGAGAGCTTGAGGTCGCTCCTTCGAAGCGTTCTTCCGCACTGAACGAGCGCTCGCGCTAGAAATACATGTCTTAAAGCCAGGAGCGTGGGCTAGCTCGCGCTCGTAGCTTAGGATGCAGTCTCAGCTGAAGGGTGAACGAAGTACAGCGCAGCCTCATTGAATGCGGAGCGATGATATGATTGTCGCGAGTCCTGCGTTCCTTGAGTTGTCCGGCGAATAGAACGCGAATCGTTCGAGTCCGACTCACTTCGGTGCCGTCTCCTGACATGGTGGTGTACTCCACGAGGCCGTTGGTTCCCGTGTCCATGTCTATCGTCGCCAGGTCCCTGAAGATGGTCGTCCCCACGGGGGCCAACTGCGGTTGCAATAAGCGATAGGTTCGAGATTACAGCTCCGAGGTTAACTAAAGTCGCGATGACTTTCATTAATCCGTGCTTGTTAACCCCTCCCCCCCCCCCCCCCCCCCCCCGTCGAAAATAATTATTTCTGGTTTGCGTTCGTTCATTTTTCTTTTTTTTTAATTTTATCGACTTGTCAAAATAGCATTTGGCGTGTATTCTCTCGGGTTTTTACCACAAGGATCAAAAATCTTAAGCCAGTGTTTCCCAAACTGTGAGTCGCGACCCCTGGGGGGATAGCCGCAGATTTTACGGTGGCTTGCAAAACGTATTTTGGGAACACCAGCTGAACAAATGAACCATACAAATAAGACAAGGACATGATAGACGCATTCAACCGCTAGACTCCCAACTGCTTTTAATGAAACACTTCATCTTCATCCTGAATATGTTTTGCCAACGTGCTCAGCTTTTTCCCTGGCAAAACGGCTCACCCGGTAACCTAAAGAAAAAAAAATCGAACATGACTTTATAGTGATGCCGTCGATCAAAACAAGGTTCAAAATGCAGCACAACGTCAAGCCAGAACTGAGTGCTTCGGTTTCCATCCTCCGTCGTTTTCAGAAACTGTGCTCTAACTAGCTCACTTTAGTAATTAAGAATACTCATTCCTGCTGGCATGCGTTTAATCTTTTTATAGTTTCCACCTCTAATGATTCACTCTGACGATATTGATTGTCAAATAAAACTTGAGCGTCAGTTTTGTTTATTATCGTTCATATACTTAAGTCGAAAAGCTCGTGAAAGCACGAAAATGCGGGGGGAGGGAGGTTAGTCGCAATATTGTATTTGATCTTTTTGATGATCCGCAGGGTATCACTGCTTGGGAAGCACTTCCGTAGACCGTAGCTGTAACGTTAAAGCATGTTTTATTATAATTGTCGCATTTTCAATGCCAACCTTTTGTTACCGTCCGAATCTGCATGCTCGAACGCACAGGCAGCCTGGCGTATCTCTCCGGGAAATCGGCGTTCGGGGGGACCGGAAGGTGTTTTTTTGTCTGTGGGTTCTTACGGTAATACGAAAAGAATAGACTTTCTTATGGGATGATGTTTCTTTTTTATCTTATTTACTCCGTTTGGAACTTCGCACTTGGTTGTTTCGGCAGAAGACGGTAAGATTCTCAGACGACGCCCTTCGCTGGAGGGGCAACGACCGTCGGTGGCACTGACCTCTGACACCGTCGTCTCGTAGTGCGGCAACCTGAACACGGGCGGATTGTCGTTGATGTCGTTGACGCGAACCAGGACCTGAATCGCCCTTTGGGAGAAAGGCTGGGGAAAAAAATAACGTATGCGAGATCAATTGGAGAGGAAACAGGAGTAGTGTAAGAGTTTGATAGGGCAAATTTGTCGAAATCGAACATTACAGCATAGGTGTGCTGTGCAACGACGTCTCACATTTCCCATAAAGAACAACACTATACTCATAACGTGTCTATTAAATGAGAAAAGCCAAGTATGCCCCTCGGGTGTTTGAGCTAAAGAGGTTTCACTGTAACAAACATTAGAAAGAAAAAAAAAACGATATATGCCGACTTACAAATTTTTGTCAGAATATTGACTGGTGGTGCACAAAGAACTCTTACCTGTATCCGTCCCAGCCTTGCTTGACATAGGATTTGTAACCGGATAGAGGCCAAATCCTCAAGCTGCACATTTGAAAGAACTATATTATAAAAATATTATCTAGTTAATAATTATCATAAAGTAGAATGAGTGTTTTCTTCGAGCTATTCACTGAAATATGAAATTGTATTTCCCCTGCGCGATATATCTAAACGTAAAATGTTGTATCTATAACAATGAAACACCACTACGGGTATATTGCGATTCAGCTAATAAATATCAGTGGATATCTTTTTTAGAGCTGCTCATGCTTTGGAATCACCAACGTTTCTAGCTGATTATATTCACTTTTCAATACTTGCTTTTGTTGCATCTTTATTGCTCTTAGGTTTGAAAATCATTACCTGAGGTAATGCAATAGGTACTTTGATGTTTTGTAACTAAAAGACTACCTTTCTGCCTGTTTTTTTAAGCAAAATACAGTGTTGATCAAGTTCACGAACATGTCAGCATGAGTTTACAGCAAGCATCGAATATGCTCACTTTATACTAAGCATTGTGTTCTAGGCATATACACTTATTATAGCAAACCTCGAACTAAAAACTTAGTAAAACCCACAATAACAATACAAGAATATTACTACTGAGAGTTATTGTTCCTTGAAAACGATAAAGTCGATAATGAATAATAATCAAACTGAAAACTCCATCAAAGTGGAAAGTTGAGCCAGTTGATTCATGGTTCTTTAAATAATTAAAAGCGCCGAAAAAGACAAGGACAAAGAAGTGGAACGACACAAGGCAAAAAACGAAAGCCGTTTACAACTCCCTGTAACACCGAATTGGAGCGCAGCTCTTGAGGAGGAGGAGGGAAGGGTACTGAGGGTTACCTGTTCTGGGGAGCGGGGGTCATGTGACCTTGGGGGTCACGTGACCTCCCAGAAAAATATTTCCGCTAGATTTAGCGGGGAATTTTTTCCGCTAGATTTAGCGGGGAAATTTTTCGGCTAGGTTTAACGGGAAAATTTTTCCGCTTGACTTAGCGGGGAATTTTTTCCGCTAAATCTAGCGGGGAAATTTTTACGCTAGATTTAGCGCGGAATTTTTTCCGCTAGATTTAGCGGGGAAATTTTTGCGCTAGATTTAGCGGGTTAATTTTTCCGCTAGATTTAGCGGGGCATTTTTCCCGCTAGATTTAGCGGAGAAATTTTTCCGCTAGGTTTAGCGGAGAAATTTTTCCGCTAGATTTAGCGGGAAAATTTTTCCGCTAGAATTAGCGGGGAACTTTTTCCGCTAAATCTAGCGGGGAAAATTTTTACGCTAGATTTAGCGGAGAAATTGTTCCGCTAAATCTAGCGGGGAAATTTTTCCGCTAGATTTAGCGGGGAAATTTACCAATAATGCACCGCGCAGTTACGCCGACGGCGACGGCGACGCCGACGCCGCTCAAACCGGAAACGGGCCCCTAAGAGCTGCTCTCTAAAAGACACAGTTGCGAGTGCGCCTTGTGTCGTTCCACTTCTTTGTCCTTGTCTTTTTCGGCGCTTTTAATTATTTAATGAAAACTCCATGTCACTCATAGCGAACGTAACCTCTGCAAGTCTGAGGTTTGTAAAACTGCTTTTTATTGGATGAGGAGCCCGATTATTTATGTATATTAGAAACTGCCGTATAAAAAAAAATAGAATAGAAAACCAACAATTGAATCAGACTCGCAAACCTTAGTGAAACTGTGTCAAATTCAGCATACCATACTCAGTACGTTTACAATTTGCTAAGGAAAAATAAACAAAAAAGGATACAGTATATCGCCCTAGCATGACTTACGTCTCTGTCCAGCGGCTTTTTGAGTACAAGCCGCTTCCCGAAGAGTTCGAAAACGTCGTAGCTAGAGCTTTGTATTGTCAAGTCGATGTCTTGAATATCGCCTAGGATGGGGAGGTCTTTGGGATGCGTCCCCTGGTCTGTCTCTGAAACGAACGCATGCAAGTTGGATTAGGGTAGTTCAATCTCCTGCTCTTTAGGGTGGCGTCACACTTTGACGTTCCCAGTGACAACCGCGTTCGATCGCGGCAAATACAATAAACAAATATGGCGCATTGCTAGGCAATTTTGTTGCATACGTGAAATGTTCCAGCATCACAAACGTTTATATCATCGTTTAGCAACACGTCCAGCCTGTTCATCCAGACGCCTACGCTCATGGCGCTCTTTACCAGATAATCTGACGCGTGAGACGTGTACGCTCAAAATGATAAACCTGGTGATCTTCCAGAACTTCCTAACCCACCCCTACTCTCCCACCTCGCCTCCTCGCCGACCACTCCTCTTCGCCTACCCCTCTGGTTATATGACCTCCCCGTGAACCAATCAGCGTCGAGCACCAAACAGTGTCGGGCCTCGCGGCCACGCTTTTATCCAGGTTTCACTTTTGGGCTTCATGAGATGCCGAACACCTAGCCAAAGAACGTTTCACGTTAATACACGCTAATAAACCTAGTACGTATAATTTTCCGCGAAGCATTTGGAAGAGCCAATCACTGATATCTACAGAGGGCATCTGGTGGATGATGTGGCTGAATATATGTTTGCAGTGCTCTGTGACACTGACAATGACGTGAGTACGTGAAACGTCATGCTCAGTCACGGTACAAACTAATTTCTTTTCTTTAGTTGTAACATGATTTTGGTTTCGCCATCCACCGAGTTCCCTTCGTGAATTGCAGCAATTGGCACTCCCAAATTCTTTGCGGGAAAATAGACGTACCATATTTTTTAGGGTGTAGCGTCTGCCAAAATGGTATTCGCTCTTTCTCGCCTGAGTTGAAAGGTGGTGGCGTCAGTGTGCAAATAGCCCCGAACCACTTCCGGTTCGGAAATAGCTAGGCGGCGGGTTTCGCAGTATTTGAGAAATCAAAGATGGTGTCTATCTTCTGGAAACGGTCACTTATAGCACTGTCAGACTTTTATAATAAAGCGATGATGTGCCAAAAATTAGGAAATATACGTCAACAGGAAGTGTGCCGGGACTTCCCAATAGAAGGCAAGGGAAGTTTGTTGCCAAACAAAAGAGGGGCGAATAAATACACGCCGGTGAAGGTTAAGAACTAGCGCTCGCCGACAAATCTTGGTTTACCAAAAAGAAAAGAAAAGACGCATTGAAGGACAAAACAATCTTATGGCAACACCCCGATCGAGGCGCGCAGCATACATATCAGAGGCTGGTGTGCACGTCGCGCTTTATGGGCCGAGAAACTGAGGAAGAGGAGGAAACGAGAGCGCATGGTAACGTCAGAACTCCGAGCTCAGATTGGAATAAATAGCGGGTAGACCTAAAGCCTTTGTCTTCGCTGCACTCGTCGACCGCGTTCGAATGCGAGAGCCAAACGCCGGACTCCGTCGTTTCGCGCGCTCTACCGCGTTTGACGAGTGCAGTGGACACAGAGGCAGCTAGAGGCTTTAGATCTACCCCCTATTCATTCCAATCAGAGCTCGGCATTCAGACGTCACCGCGCGCTCTCGTCTTCTTCTCTCCCTCAGTTTCTCGGCGCATACATTTGTTCTAAATTCAACTCTCTCGCGAGCTCTTCCTCCACCTTTTTATCAAAGATAGCGAGCATCCAGTTTCCGCCAGGATAGGAAAACCGTAGTGCTGACTTCTCGGTGTCACCTGCCAGAAACCGACGTGGGACACCGATTAGGCAAAGGTTCTGAGTCGGCTTTCGGCTGGGACTCTTGTTTTAATTGACTCATCATAAGACCTAGCCGCACGCTTGCGCAGCACTTATCTTCATATGGCGCCCGCGTTTTTTTCTTTTTTTTTTTTTAACGCTATAGCTTTAAGGAGCTTGTGTCGCAGAAAATCCGGCCTCGGTGGCGAACGCTAAAATCCTGATTGGTCGATAAGGTCATGACGTCACAACCACATGACCTCGCGCGGGAATTTCAAACAATCCACAACGCTCACGTGAAACGTTACATCGCGCGTAGAATGAAAGTGATTAAAAAACATGCTATGTACTGCGAACTAAAGGTCGCCGCATGCCTCAAATCATATCACTTTATGAAGTAATTCATTTGCTTTAAAGAAAAAATTGAAAAGATTTAGGTTGTATTCAAACCCACGAACCTTCGGTTGCGAGCCAGACACGCTACTGACTGGGCCACGCAAGGCGCGCTTGCATGGCGAATGGGAAGACGGTGCGAACGGGGGGCCTCATAACACTATCACGTTCCACTCTTAAAGGTGAAGCTTAAACGTCCCCAAGTTTTACTCTGATAGGTGACACCGGAAATTCAACACAGCAACCTTGCCATCTAGGAAGTGTTGGCACCTCCTCTTTCACCACTCTCGCACGTTGAGAAAGGAGGAAACCAAGACTTCTGCCCTGCAGAAGATTGAACTTCCACGTCTGCCTTGGAGCCACCCCGGAATCACTCGTCTGCCATTCGAGGAAGGCTGGTTCCAAAAGTGTACGGTTACAGACCCTGACTTACGGTTTCCTCTGCTTTCCTGTACGTCGACGATGATGACCGCGTCACCTCCTTCGATCTCGCAAACTGCAGGGAGACAAAAAAGAATAGCAATTAGAAGATTAGCGGTGAAAAATATGCAGCACTTCTTTCTCAACTGCACTGAAACAAAACCCATTCATAAAACGCCGCACCGTTTAAATGACAGCTGTACACGCCCCTCAAAAAAGTAACCAAATGCCAAATGCCAAAAGTCACATGTTTCTTTTAAATTATAACTAAAAATTTTACACACGTGTACGCTGAAGTATGTCCTGGATCTACTTTTGGCCGAGCTCCGTAATAAGCGTGTTTCTTTACGGCCATAATTGCATAAATCGATTATCTCGTCGGGCATTTCTGGGTCCCCTATGTTTTGATATTTACAAGTACGAATATCGTTACGCTTAGAAATAAATACATAAAAAATTGGGATTACTGCTTTCGGTATTTACCGATAAAATCTGAAAATTAAACCCCGCGTCGGTTTCGTCCAAATCGGCAAAAGTAAAAAAAAAAAAAAAACGAAGTGTACAGGATTTTTAATTAAAAAAAAATATCCTTGCTTCATGGAAATCAATTACAGCTTTATGATTTTCTATTTCTTTCCCATATCGGTACCGCGACGATTCGAGAGTGTTCGGGTCAGGTGCATGTTCCCTGAGGGGTCGGAGAAACCCACGCTCGCGTGTTGTTTTGCTCATCGTAAGCCCCGATAGACGCCGAATTTCTGTCCGACAGCGAAACAAATTCACAACAAAAACACACCGAATATTTGCGAAAACCATGAAATATCACCCCTTAACCAAAGAAAAATAAACCCCGAAAACTTAGAGCCCCATAATCGTAAACCACAACACTTTTCTGTCTTCAGCTTTTCGGTGCTGACAAATCGCGAAGCACCCGCGCACTAAAATTTCCTCCTGTTTTTTTTTTTTTTTTTTTTTTTTTGCAAACTAGACGGTTTTTTTTTAACACCGAGTGCACGCACTGCTCTTGAGCAGAAGCTATGCTGTACGTGAAGCGTAAGCGCGTGCGTTACGTCATCAGCAGCTCCACCGCAGAGGCGTCATGCCAATCACGCACGTTCGTTTATAAGCATACTGTTCGACAACTTATTTTAAAAAATAGTTTTAACATCTTCAGTTATACTACGGTGCCTATATTGTGTGTCACCCTACGATTGGCTAGAGGAAAAAGCTACGGACCGCCATATCCAAACATGAGCCACTTAAAAGTTACGTGGTATTTCGCTTCGATGCACGTATTGGTGTCCGCGTCTCGGTTCACTAATGGTGATGGGCGTACACTGGCACGAATCGAAGAACACTGAGTGACACATCAATTTTACATTGCAAAGGAAGTCACGACCAACAGGCTCTTTGCAGTCTCGAGGCTATAGAAATGATGCAACGCTTTTTTATTCGGAGAATTATTCGTCAAAATTATAATGCAATTAAATGCAAAGGTGCAAGCGAGCTGGACAAGAATGGCGAAACTGATCCCTGGAGAAGGGGAACAAGAGGGACAAAGGACAAAGATAAATCGGTCGCTCACCAGTCACCTAGCTGTTTTTGGAGATTTATGTTTGTCCTTTGTCCCTCTTGTTCCCCATAGTTCAGCGTATAACGTGATTGGACCTGGCGGCCCGTGGCTTTGGCCTTTAGTCTATCGTAGGATGAGACAAGGTATAAAACGCGTCTTTAAATGGTGCTCTTGGCGCCCTAATCCCACCCGTACGTTAAACGTATAGTCCCGAAGTGGCAACAAACGAAGTTGCACGAGACGGTGTGTCACGCTGTCGGTTGTCGCGACCCTGGTGGCTGGTAAAGAGAAGAAGCCGCGGTAAAGGGTACGAGCGAACACGTGTGGCGCTGTCGTCGCGGACTCCCAACTCTCAGTGGCTGCTGAACCTTTAGCACACTGCCAAGCTAGAGTCACCTGCAGCTGAACGGGTACCTGCCACCTCCAGCGGCTGTGCCACCGCCAGGTTCGCGGCCGGCGACAACGGGACACTTCTAAGACGTCATCAGGCAGAAACTGAGGCGAAAATCGAGGCAGGGATCGTGTTTTCAGCACCATAGTTGTACGGCAATCAAAAGTTGAGCCAAATTCACTACTTTTTCTTTCTTTCTACAGGAAGAAACTTAGTTATTACCTCGTCACCGAAAAGTAGCACGATACTAGTTAATGGCCTCACTCGTGTCGTGCTATTTTAACGTGTTGTCGTGTTTCTCATTAGTCATCGATCGGTAATAAAGGCTAATAATTGCACTAAGTGAACGTTTCTACTTATCGATAACGTCGAACCAAAAAGCAGTTACAAACAACAAAACAGTTCTACGAGTGCAGAAATCGCATCCTTTTCTGTTTGAACTTCCATGCAATCTGAAGCGTCGGCCTCGGCTCTCTATCGGCATTCTTATATGTGTATATAAACGTACTGTATACTTTATTTCCCACTGAAACAGTGCTCTTCATAATCGATCTTTATTTACAATATAGCCAATTTTTGTATGCATCATTTTTACTTTACTTTTAACGCGGTTAGGACGAGATACGCGTAGGACTGGGTCAGTACGATTGAAATTATAGCAAGTCAAATTATTTATTGACTTTTGATGCATGCGGATCACATACAAAACACATTTGCTTTCTTTTCGATTTTAGCTTCTTACTGCAATAGTCATCAACACGTAACATTGAACAGGGTGACAAGATTGATGTTATTGCGGCGCATATTCAGCGTCCTCGAAAGATTATCATTCTGTTTTATACCGCCCGTATCTAAAGCACCGAGATCAACTTTCGGAGAAGCGAATCCCATTGAATTGAAGTGCAATGACACGTTAAATAAGCTACATTGAATTGAAACGAAAGAAACACACAAGAGGACGAAACAGACGACACAGCTTTCGTGTCCTCTTGTGTGTTTCTTTCGTTTCAATTCAATATAGATTACCAACACGCTCAAGTCTATAATTAAATAAGCTACTTCCATTGTGATTTCCCTTGATGTGTTGAGGTCAGTGCCGCTCTGCCCTGTGTTTTATGGGGCAGGAACCCGCCAAGCTGCAAATTCGCAGTTTTTTTTTTTTTTCCCCTTTTGTCACATGTGTGAAAGAAGACCGTGACAAAATAAACTCATTTCATTCGACTTGATTTGATTTGATTTGGGTTATTCCGCATACTATTTCCAAGACTAAGCCATCGCGCAGATGTTTCCCGTAGGAAGATTCAAAATATTGTTTTAACAAAACTATATTTGCGGGGTCCGTGTAAAAGCATGCCTCGTGTGGCTTATTTCTGAAAACAAATGCGTGGAACTATCTCCGTTTATTTCGATAAACGTCCAATTTTCGGCTCGTTTTTTCTTCACCTTTAGTTTTATGGGTTTAGTTCCTGTTTCCTTTTTTATCTCGTTTGATGGCAAAATTCGCACCTATAGCTAGATCTGCTTTGTAGTACTCCTTCTATAGTTCCTTTTTTTCGCTAGGTAATATTTATATTCACTGGGAGCCATATTTGAACGCGGTGTTCGCAGCGCATGCTCCGAAACAGCCCCTACTTATATTTTAGGAAGAACTACAATCTCGGGAGTGTGGAACGCACGTTGAGGAAGCGTGCTGGCAGCTCGTTGTAAGCTCGAACCTGGCCACCAGGCTTGCTGCGCGTAGGTACATATTTGAACATTCTTGCATGGGCATCGTTTTTGTTGTTTTTGATTTTTTGTTTGTGCGTTGTTTTTTTGGGAGTGACGAGAAGGGTGGACACCAAGAGGTGTATGGGCTTCTGTTGTTCACTCCGTTTTGTTGACCAGAAGGTAGCAGCTATACATATATATAGAATATATATCCTCTCTGCACTCGGAACGTCACTGTAATTTTCCTTCGCGCCCAAATGTCAGTGGCGGTTTCCTTCTAGAGAGAACGTCAATCTATATGGAGCGCATATGATTCCAGGTTACGACGAGACAAAGACAGGCTTTGTGTATCTCCCCTTGTAGCCCAAGGAGAGCCTACGGCAGAATCGACCTCGGACGCCACTGCGGAAATCTCCAAGTTTCTTTTATTAGAATTATCATCGTGCCTTCTAGTCAGTTTTGATTCCAAAGAATAGGTAAATGCATGGTTCTTTCTTATTTTCTTTGAGTTAAAAATTTTTTAACACGAAAAATACACTGAAAATTTAATTACTCTTCCGGATTTTCATAATTTACTGCGGCAGACGTCAGGACACGGTATAAGCAATAATTATTGTAAAATCCTTTATTTTCGCTGATCGATTTTTAATGAATGAGGCAGCGGGGTCATATTCGCGACCATTGAATTTCGTGAATTGTATAGGCTGGAACTCGCCTCTACAAACTAGAGAAATACTCGCATCCACTAAAGTTCGCGAATATTACAAGACACGAACTTGGCGAAAATTGGGGGCCCCCAAACATTAAAGGCCCGTTCACACACGTGCAACCGAGTAGGACGGAGAGAAACCAGACCGGTTTTTAAGCCTCTTGCGACGTCTTCTCCGCAGCCGTGCATCCGGTCCTAAGACATCGCAAGAGGCTGGTCTATCTCGGTCGTACTCGGTTGCACGTGTGTGAACGGGCCTTAAGGGTTTTAACAGTATGACTTGATTAACAAAACTAAGTTAAGTTACAATTTAGCTATTTTTATTAGGTGACATTTTGAATTAGAGATATCCGATCCAGCTCTATTTATAGGTCAGATTAATTGTTAGATTATAGAAAAAAAACATTATTCGCGTTATCACGTGGCGAATTTCTGTAGCAGCAGCAGTGAGAAAGCGAAACAAAGTCAGGAAAAAGCTCAGAAAACAGCCCGAAAGACGGAACTTTGTGTCACCCCGTACTAGTGCGGGGGCGTTGTTAAAAATAGTAAAGAGGTTAATTAACTAATTTTACGTAATTGAGTCCCTAACTGTTTCTTTACACGCTTTCCCTGACGACCGCCGCGGTCGAGAGCGTTACTCTGCAGGAATGCATTAAAATATTTTAAGTGTTTTTTATGTTTTTTATGTTTTTTATA